CTTTAGCATGTAAACCGTTCTGTGCTGTTTTAGACACTCGCTATCATCATGCTTCTTCAAACCTGTCAAAAGTAAAATTCTCTGGAACACAGTGTGGATTTTTTTGTTAAACGTGATTTGAGGTACTTTCACAAGCATTGTATGGGCATCAACATTTCTTCAGAGTAACTTAGTAGTAGTAGTAGTAGTAGTCATATGAGCAGTGTTACTGAAAAACAGTAACTCGTTACAGTTGCTAGTCACTTCATTCAAAAAGTAACTCAGCTACTTTATCGATTACTTACACCAAAAAGTAATGCATTACTGTTAAAAGTAATTTTGAGTTACTTTTGCAAAAAACATTTTAATGCTCTCAATAACGCCTTTATAATGTCACTTCAGTGCTGCATGGAGAATACACTGTGGATCAGCTTCACAGGTTTACTAACTTGCATTCTCACAACTAAAACGCAAGACAGACTTAAACAAAAAGTCATTTTTAAACACTAATTTATTTAAGTCAGACCCGCAGCTCAAAAATGAAAATATCACAAGGTGATAAACTTGCTGAATAATGTATTCAAAAACAAAAAAGCAAAAACTTAAGTTGCTTCGGCGTCTTAAAAGTTTATATTTAACCCTTAAACATGTTCCCTCACAGCTTAAGTATGAAATTAGCAACAATATACAACAAACATAAAACCTTTATGAAATAAATAAATTAAAGTAATATGAATTATAATTCTGAATCAATTTGGTGAAACTCGGCACCAGAAAACTGCTATTATAGACAGCCGTACATTTTGTGCATTTTTAACAAAACAAAAACACAACAACTGCACAAAAATGAAATCCCTGAGCAATTTTAAAACTAACCACAAATTAAATGTGGTATGTCAGCAACTTATGGAAAGTAAGCGTGTATATTCAGTGGAAATTGTAAGCTAATCAATTTTGGTATACAGATAACAGATGTCTGCTTATTTAATTGAAATGATATAGTAGTATCACTAATACTAATTAATAATAGTAATTAATATTTTCATTAATATTTTCTCTGTCTCGTGCGCATTCGGTCTCACTCGCGTGCACATCGACCTACCTCACGTGCATTCAATCTCTCTCGCACACACACTTGGCCTTTCTCACACACACCTGGTGTTTCTGCTTTCACCCTTATCCAGGCTGGCGCCTCGTATACGACATGTCTTCTTTACAGTGGTTGGTTGGCATCCACCAATCCCAAATGCATCACTGCTGTAAACCAGAAGTTGTGGACTAGACTGCACCCAAAAATAATTAATTTACCAAGTAACGAATAAATCACATTGTAACAGTATCAGAGTATATATATTTAAAAAGTAATGCATCACAGTATTAGTTCCTGTCAAAAGTAATGCTGTTACAATAATGAATTACTAGTAACACATGATTGCCCAACACTGCATATGAGTGTTAATAAATTATGTTACCTAGATCTAATATCCTAAATATGGGGAAGAATTCTCTTTCTGAAATGTAAGCCTGTCCTAGAACGCAATATAATCAACTCTGCAATGCCCTGCAAATGCTTAGAACCCCCTAGCAACACCCAGACAACCATCCAGACATGGACTGTTAATGGTTAGTAATTCCACGACAACAACCTACAACTTAACAACTATCTGGAAGACTATGGCATTGCTCTAACTACTCTATAGAACACCCTGTTAACACCATAGCAACCACATAGCAATGCTTTGCACATTTGTAGCTTGTGATAACCACAAGTATCACAACCTCACTAGCATGATTAAAAAAAGTAACTAAACATACTTTTCTATGACGCTTGTTATGAAAGTATTATTTTATTAACAACATATAATCATTTTACATGACTCCTTTCTTATATTTAAAACATAAATAACAATAAAATGTTTCTCAGTGGTCACTGTTAATGTTACCACAGTAAAGCCATTCTAATAGTTAGTGATTTGTGGAACAAAAAGTCTTATAACCTGATTGCTATCACACAGCGTTTCCACATTAGTGTTGCAGAGAGTGGCAGCACTGTTTCATTTAGCTTTCAACTTCTTAATTGGAGGATTATAAATGTGTGGTTGTGTTAGAAAGCTCTGACTGAACTTGAATGCTCCAATCACTTTTTATTTAGTTAGACTTTCATGAATAACCTTGGAAAATCAAACCAGTAAACCAAAAATACCCACCCAGTTTTCTGTATTCAAAAAAATGACAGATTTTAGGCTGAAAATGACAGATTGTAAGCATTTGTGTCAAACACAATAATTCAGCATCAGAATTATCATCAGCATTAATGACCAGGATAAATCTAAAGTCTGTAACAGTACAGCTACGCAAAGCCAATTGCTGTTTTACCACAGGTTTGAGAATAACAATAATAATAGCCCACTCATATTAACCTTTATTTTACAGCTACAGAATCGTGAGAAAATCAGGAACTTTAATTTCGGAAAAAAAATCGTGATTCTCATTTTAGCCAGAATCATGCAGCTCTAGTGCGGTTAAATGACATTTGTCCTGGGAGCACTGTACATATGTGGGGGCGCTATTGACGCATGCTTGGGGTCCGTATGTGATATCGAGTGTATATATCTATTCTACGCAAGCGACAGCGACTGTTGGCGATCAGGTGGGTGTGTCGAGCGAGCGCAAAGTTGAGAATCCTTCAACTTTATGCAAATGAAGAGCCACTTTTTTGAGTGATAGCCAATAGGAGCACCAGTAGATCTTATGTGATCCTCTCCTCAGCTCGCTCAGAGGCTGGTAGTGTTCTCCGTGATGTAGACCTATACAGACCTGCGTTTGCAGCAGGTCGCCACCCAGATCAACAGGCAGCTTGTGTGAATGAGGCATTAGTGACCACTTGGCAAGGCACAACTACCCACAATCCTCCCTTGCATCATGGAAGAGTTTTAAATGAAGTTCAATAAACAAAACAAAAAAAATCTGAAAATGTACAAACAATAAACAACAAATATAAAAAAAAGGTTATTAAAAGGTTGATGAAGCTCTTTTTAGGTGGTTTTAAATAAGCTTTTGTGTGTATGTGTGTGTGTGTGTGTAAGCTGTCACACATTGAGCAGAGGGGGCAGGAAAGTGCTGTTGTGTTTCTAGGCCACATTCTTAAGCAGAGAGAGTAACCAGGCATGAAGTCTGTGCTCAATGTGGCCCGTCCCTTCTCATACAACCGCAGAAAGAGGCATCTCTCTCGCTCTCCCTCTCCATGGCTTTGTGCCTCTCAGTTTTCTCTCTTCTACTTGCTGCTTTTTTCCTTTCTCCCCTCATGGCTGAACTGGCCCAGTTGGCCCCTCTGACCTTCCTCCTTTTTACTTCCTTTGTCTGCAGAGTTCATGCTGAAACGTTGTGTGTTGGTTGTTCTGCGTAAACACCATTGTGTGTAATCTTATCACCTGAAGATGACAGCTGTCTCCTAGCTGAGCAGATCTGGTTTAGAAAAGCACCAGGAGCTTGGTCGTATCCTCTGGAAAAACTGGTCGTCAGCAGATCTGTCACTCCTGGTTTTGTTTAGCCGGGATTTGGCTGCGTAACCCGTGTTGCCTCAAACCCTCCACCGCTCTGAGGTGTGAACTTCATCCAGCCGTGTGTCACTGCAGTTTAGGAGCTTCTTGTTTGCCACCAGCTTAGAGGAGACACATGTGGATGGGTGTTTGTCTATGGGTGAGAGAGCTGTTTTGTGTGGCTTTTGGGTGAAATTTACCAACAATGTAAATGGTAATCAGCTAAAATTGTCAAAGAGAAACAAAAAATTAGCAGGATGAATGTGGATTCGTGTGATGGCTTTTCATATTTTTTTTTCTGTAATTTTTTGGATCCATTATGGGACAGTTATATTGTTTCAAACCTTATTTCTTTAGGACACAAAAAGATTAAGGTTGAGAATATGTATACTGGCCGCTGTTATATTGAACATGAGAGGAAAGCTGCTGCGAAGCTCCAAAATATTTCTTGTTGATAGCTTTGTGAGAGAGACAAACTAAAAGTCATGTCTAGGCATGGGCTGGTGTAAGATTCTGATGGGATAATAACCTTGGATAAAAATATCACGGTTTTGTGATTACTGCTCAATGTACTTTTTTATTTGTCTGGGTAAAAAAAATATATTTCATTTTAGCAAACATTTCAAAATATTTAGTGACAGTAAACATCTGGCTAAATAATAAAAAAAAATCATTGACTTCTGCTGACTCTTTTTTTCTGCTGCTTTACCCAGCCTTTTAAAAAGAACTTGTTAGCAGTAACCACAATACCGTGAAACCATGATATTTTTATGCAAGGTTATCATAGCGTCAGAATTTTATACCAGCCCATGCCTAGTCAACGTTAATGTCTGCTGGTTGTCTAGTTGATTCCGCATTACCCATTTTTGTTTTAATAGTGCTAACAAATTTAGCAGCACAAACACAGCTCAGTAGTCTGCCATTTTTGTTGTTACTGGTTGTTATGTGTGGGGTTTTTCCTCCTTCTCAGCACGTGGCATGGTGATTTCATCATTTATAAAAAGTTGCATTTTGCCTTTCTACACAGCTATGCTCTGGGTCTTTTTTTTCCCCCAACAACAATGGCAAGGCCGGTTGTGGGCGAAAGACCAAAACTATAATAAACTTTTGCAGACTGACCTAAATCTGTTGCCGTGTGGACGGGGTCTGAAACTAGAATGACAAACTTTGTGTTTGCAACTAACTGAAATAAAGTAAACAAACAAAATAAGACTAAAGCCTGATTTAAATACGTTTGCATAACAAATTGGCCTTAAAAAACATTTCTCCTTTTGTCTTTCAGATGAGAAGAGCATTAAGCAATGAGTTATCAAAGTATAAGCAATAGCAGTGATGCTTTGCTTCAGCAATTACCTGCAATCATGAAAAATGCTTAGAAAAGCTAGTGTGCTCAAGCTCAGCTTATGGTTGCAGACACATGGTTTCATTACATCTTATAAAGATATTTACATGTTTGCTTCTTGTTGTGTTTTGTTCTCGCAGGTGACATCACACAGAAAGGCTATGAAAAGAAGCGAGCTAAACTGCTGGCTCCATTCGTACCACAGACCCAAAGTAAGACTTCCTGTTTGCTAATTTCCCCCGTCCTCTCTGTTTCTTCTTTTATGTATCTTTACTCATCGCAGTGCCATCAACACAGTCCATGTTTATGTAAAGATGCTTTCATTTTACTGCTCTTGCACTAATTAAATGTTCATTAATGATGTGTTTGAACTTGGTTTCTTTTCCTACAATTATTTGCAAATGTGTAGCTTCATGCTGCACCCTAGTGGGGATCTGTAGAAATCTCATCAGTCCCTTCATTAAGAGGCTGCACTAAAATCAAATGAATGCTTGAAATAGTTTTGTGGCCGAAGACATTAGCAAACCATCTTCTTATCTGGAAGCTCCAAGTTGTTTAATCTCTTCTGATCACAGCACTTTCCGGCCTGTTAATGTCCATATACACATGCAAACATACACAGACTTCCTCTAAGCTGCATATAGAAGGAACCAAAACGGGAATTCACTGGTGGGTTTTGTCAGTAAAGAGACCTGAACATAGACTTCCTTGTTACATGCTCTTAACAAAGCATTATAAACTAGATTGCAGGGGCACACTGTTTACACAATAGATTTGACCTTCAGATGTCTCATGCACGACACGTCTAAGGCAGTTCTGATGCACACACAGATACATTCTCATTTGAAACCTCAAATGTGCCCGTGAGACTTCAAAGGTGCCATTATAGTGCTTTGAAGTTAAAGTTCACCCCAGCTGTCTGTCACTGCCCTGTCTGCATTCATTCTCTGATGGCAACCGACTGTATGTTCAAACTGTATGCACTTAAATACAAAGCGTTTTTTTTAATGTGATTGCATTCATATTATTTGAGCATTTGTCATTCTTTCACTTGTGTTTTGTTTGAAACTAATAATGATTTCTGTCTCCAGTGGAAATCTTTTTTTTTTTTAAACAAATCTGCTTGTCATTTTAAGTGTATATTAATTAATTATTGACCTATTCCTTAATGATTTCTTGTAACGCACATTTAATTTTTTTCTGTGAATTATTCCTATAAAATTTTGTATGATGCTTCACATTAACGAACTCTGTGTGTCTGTTTTTATTGATATAGATGTGGACGTGAGTATTCTTTCTACAGACTCCACCTCGAGCCCTATTACCATCCCTATTGCTGCCCCACGGCAACACAGGGCTCACCGAAGTGGAGGAACACGGGATGACCGCTATCGGTCAGGTAATGAAATTTTACCCATATATGTGTCAAGCATTAGGGGTTGGTGAATTTTGCCTAATGTTTTCGAAAGAATTGTCTTATATTTCTTAATTCTTTCACACTACAAACCAGGGCTGCGCAATATTGGAAAAAACTAACATGGCAATATTTACATTCGCTGCCATGTATATTGCGATATAAATGCAATTTTACCAGATGACTTGAATAACTTGTAAAGAATTCATAATTTTGGATCGATTGGGATGATTCTAAAGAGGGTATCTGCATAAAATATAATAAAAAAAAAATGACAAGCATAGTTGAATGGAACAAAGAAAAGATGAAAATAAACAAAGGTTTATGATTTTTGGGGAGTCGAACAGTATTCAAAAGCAAAAATTAAATAATAACTGTATAATAATATTAGTAACACTATCGTTTCAATTGAGTAAATAATTAATTAATAATTAATCTTTTAAGGGCCATGAAACCCCCTCTGTCTCAGCAGGGTGTATTCACACCTCTAGCTTGAAATAAGTCGAGAAAGTCGGTGAGTCCAGCTTTGTTTAGGTGGAAGTGACGATTGGCAAAAGAGGGATGGGTTTGCATGAAAAGGGGAGTTTCAGTACGTGCACGTGCTGATTTTCACAGAGACAAAACAACACACAGACGCAGGAGAGTAAGACAGTGACTACGTTTACATGAACATCAGTAATCAAGTTATTTGCCAAATTATTATTTTGTCGACTTTAACTGCAGTTTGGCACTTTGTTTCATTCAGGAACATTCCATGCATGCCCCCCGTGACAAACAAGGTATTTTAGTTGAGGAACTGCTAGAAGTGTTGTTTTAATGGAATGTTTGATACCGCACACCCTATGGGAGAAAAAAAACCCACTTTTCTCTGTAACTTAGATGCACTCGGTAGTTGCAGAGAATAGCTATAGAAAGCCTTGTGTGTATAGACTATCCTATCACAAAATGCGATGAAAATCCTACATGATGGTAATAGTTTGATTAAGGTGTTTACATTCGGAAAGCAGCATTTACAGTGGATCTTTCAGCCCATAATATTGTTGTGATATTAACATACTGTAAACTTAGTAACTAAATCATTTTGACTTAAGGTATGTCTTGAAAGACCACTGCTGACGATACAAACTAACTTTGCCATCCGAATAAACATAAACACAGAACATTTATCACACACTAAATCTGTAGAGACAGGACAATCAACACCAAGTTGAACCGTGACATACTGTAACTTCAATTTCTTTTCAAACCGGAAGAAAAATTTTGCTTAAAATAATGCAAAAACAATCAATTTTCTCTTTTTGTGAAATATATGTGTCTTAATGGTGTTTTTAGCAATGTGGGACACATATATGACTCTCGTCGACATCTTAAAAAATGTGTTTTGGGGTTTCGTGACCCTTTAAGCTAAAAACGTTTAATATTTTTTTGTGCCCAAATGGCTCAAGTTTGCTTCAAATTCTTACAGTCAGGCCTTAAAAACCACATGCAAATAATAAACTTTCACTCGAAGGTTAAAATTTTAAATGACTCCACTATGTTGTTAACTAATGTCTGGTCAACTATAATCCCAACTGCATTGCAGATCCCTGCAATGTGACTATTGCAGACTCGCACATTGAGATATCAATGCTGAAACAATATATTGTGCAGCTCTACTACAAACTGATTTTACAGAATTAGATGGGATAAAAGTGGACTGTGTTTTTGCCTTGTGTCAGCTGCATCTCAGCCAGTTCCCTTTGGTTGAACACACCAAAATCACTGCAGCTTATTGTAAACTAGTGTGTGCCTACTTTGCCTTAAGCAGGTCACACAGCGCCGCGCAGCGCCATGTATTTTAGAATTCTAAACATAGGTTTCTATGAGGATACACACACCGGCGCCGCAAGTCGGCGGCTGTCGGCAGCGCCCGGCGACGGCTCAGGACGCAGTTCATTTTTCAGCCGCGCCACAGAGCGCCATCTGATTAGTTTCATGTTAAATATCATTCGAATGTGCGCATCTGGTGTGTGATACTTTAAACTGTCATGGACGCGTCGTGTCGCGGCGCCGAGCGGCGCTTCTGGTGTGCGACCTGCTTTAGTGTACGAAAATAACTGTCTGTTTTAGCAGCTATCAATAATCTTAATTCGTCCTTCAAATAGATACTGAAACTAGGACTGCAAAACTGTCTTTATTAGCAGCTATCAATAATCTTAATTCATCCTTCAAACAGATACTGAAAGTAGGACTGCAAATATACATAGCATAATCAAAGCAGCACTTTTTGGCATTTTGAATATCGATGTTGATTGATCATGTTCTTCATTTCATGCGGCTCATATTATTATTAAAATATTTGCATAAACACAAATATTTTAGCTAGCTCGACAGCTGATGACCATCGGCTTGGTGTGTCATTGCCCTTATTCTTACCAAAGTTGCATTTATTTGTTTAGAAATGCAATAAAAATGGAAGTTAAATCATGATTCTTTTACTTGCAAAAGCTGTATTTGTAGCATTTTGTTTGCATGGTTTGTCAGAAATAATTTAAATTTGCTGATTTGTTGCTAAAAAATACTCTTAACGGTTCTATGATAAATAAGTACAGAATGCTATAAAAGAGATTAAAATGTATATAAAAGTAATCTGCAAGTCTAAAAATAGAAAAGCATTAACAGGTTTAATATATGCTCCTCTTTAACATTTTTGCATAAAATGCTTGTATACATGTATTTAATAAAAGTGCTTGAGCCTGCTTGAATTTAAAAAAGCAGGGCTCGAAATTGCGACCGTTTTGGTGCATATGCACCTGAAATTTGATTTATGCAAGCTCAAAATATATTTGGCGTACGTGCGAGTGCATAACATTATTTTTATTTTCATTCCAAAATGTTCATCGGATGCTTTTATTAAGGAGACGTTCACGCATATTTGTATATTTGCACCTGAAAACGCTAAACACAGGGTAAAGTTTAGATCGGATACACGGCCAGCCGGAAGTGCGATATGCACGTTAATATAGCAGCAGTTTTTATGACACTGTATAACAATAATTTATATTTTTACAGTACTGTGATGGTTGGAGAAGAGGTAGGCATTAAAAAAATACAATTTATCGGGTAATTTAATAGATAGCATAAATAATACTCTTTTCAACTACTGTTTTTACATTACTCTGACAGTTGGGTTTAGGATTGGGGTGGAGGTAAACGTTAATAAAATACAATACAGTAGCAGTAGAACTTGAAAGTGCTTGTAAAGCTCTGGAATTTGAAGTTAGAAAAGGTGTAAGAACCCTGTTCTTAATATAACATACAGTACCATACATCCACTTCCACTTCCTTATCACAATTCATTTTGGCTAACATTTTTTCAAATGAAAAATCATAATCAAATTCATCCATTATTGAAGTGTAAGATATTAAATGTCTTTTTAAAACCTTAATATTTTATGTCTTGCTGTAGATATACCAACAGATAGAAGAGAGAACTCCTTATTCGTAATATGTGGAACCTCAGTTTTACCACCTAAAAGACATATCCTGGGTGAGAGAAGAATAAATCCCTGGCACCTAATTATCTTAGTAAAGTTTCTCAAAAGGGTTGAATCTTTTTACACTGCCATAAAGCATGGAAGTATGTGCCAATCTCTTGTTCACTCATTTAATTCTTGTTAAAGAAAGTAAAGTGATTTTGTTGTATAATGAAACTGTACAGGCTGGTTCTTGTTAATAAAACCAAAAAAAAAAAAAATACAGAACAAAGCATTTGTTTAAGAAATATAAATGGTTTTCTATTATTAAAATATCTTTGATAATAACGAAACCGTTCTGACCTCTTAATTTCTAAACTATAGTGTATATCATTCACTTATTTGTTTGACAATGACATGAATTGATGCATAATACATAGAGAAAACACTGATTTGGCTATCCGTCTCAGTGTACGCACATATTTTGGTTGTATATAAATTATAGTCTGAATCCATAGCAATTTTTCTAAAGGTCAGCAAATTGTGCAAACGCGTTGTGAAGCATCAACCAGGAGTTGATGCCAAACCTTGACCCCTTTCTCAAAGCAGGCCTAAATAAATGTACAGTGTTACTGAGCGCCTCTGTACTGTGTTTGTTCCCACAGAGAGAGAGTTCTTTGTGTCTACATGAGTCATTTTAGTACTACAGTCACTGTCTGGTGACATTGCTGTATGTCTCATCTGCCTCCTGTCATGTACCATTGTGTAATTGGTATTTATTCATCTGTCTTTTCGTTTGTCTTTTGTCTTCTCGTCGTCTCTGCATCCATCTGCTAGATATCCACACAGAGGCAGTGCAGGCAGCTCTGGCCCGGCATAAAGAGGAGAAGATGGCCCTTCCAATGCCCACTAAGCGGCGTTCAGCCTTCGTCCAGTCTCCTGCAGAAAACTGCACTCCTCCCGGTGGGTCATGCATCGCCCACAAGCCTTCTGCTGCCCCTTCTGTCCAGATCTCACTGACCAGCAGGGTCTCAAAAAAAAAAAAAACCCAAACCTTAAAGGCACACTCTTGTGTTTAAGGCCACAATGTATTTGTATATATAATATATATTTGTATTTGCCACAATGTATTTGTGTGTATATATATATATATATATATATATATATATATATATATATATTTTTTTTTTTTTAATTAATCTAGCTATATTTTATAAAAGGCTGATATTTTGAAGCCATTTTTTTCCTGCACTTAAAAAGACCATATAAAATGACTGCATTTTTTATTATTATTAAGCTGTTATTTCAGTATCAAGGAGTACATAATTTTTGTTGCATGGAATTAATTTCAGTTTACAATAATAACTTTAATATGTTATGCAAATTGTCAGATGTTGTATTTAGTTAATGTAGGATATATCAGGGTGTCAGCGGGGTCTTAAAAAGTCTTATATATATATATATCTTGGTGAGACCTGCAGAAACCCTGTATATTTTTGTTTATTTTCTAGTGATATTATGTTAATAACTCTATTTTATAGAACCATATTAAGTTAATATGGAATGTACCAGTTAATAGGAATGTAATGCAATTATTACCAGTCTGTTGATCACAAATTCTATAACGCTGCTTATTCTATCTTAAGTTGTCATATCAAACTCATCATGTATATGTGTCTGCCTTTTGTGGTCTTTATCTGTAAGCTTTTCGTTTTTATTTCTATTCATTATTATCTTTTTAAACTGTTGTTGTATGCATGTGGCCACAGATACATCGTCAGCGTCGGAGGATGAGGGCTCCCTGCGCCGGCGTCAAGCCGCAATCAGTGCAATGCTGGCTCAGAACCTCCAGAGTCCCGAATACTGGATCAACCGATCAGTCCAGGGCTCCTCCACATCCTCCTCCGCCTCCTCCACGCTTTCTCACGGAGATGGCAAAACGCACAACCACAACAACCACAGCCAGGGGCAGACCAGTGCGCTCGCAGATGTGCTGGCACACACCCGCATAGGTACTGCAGGATCATGAGTCACACAAACACACGTGTTCAAGTGCTGAATCACAGACGACACAAAGAAGAGCTTCAGTTTTTATATGTCTGGTACTTACGTAAGCTTGATTTACTTCCCAGTGATCAGGGCAAAGGAAAACAGCAGCAGATCTTAATTTCCAAGTTCGTCAGCTTTAACGGTGGCTATGCAAACCTGTTTGTTCAGTTGTGTGTCATATTGAATGCTGGATGAATCACTATGCTGTTATGTGTCTCCTTTACAGATACCAACAGCAGTAGTGGCAGTGTCCCGCCTGACGTCACGTCCACAGCGCCCCAGGACAGGAACTCCAGAGTAGACCTGCCAGCCAACATCGCAGTGAAGGGCATAAGCCGAGGCCAGAGCCGATCCAGTATGATGGACACTGCCGGCGGTATGGACAGCCTCACACACAGCTCTTACATGCTGGAGACCTTGAACTTCCTGAACTGTTAGACTTGTAGGACCCAGTTTGGCCAACACAATAGTCAAAGCAATCCCTCCCTCTAGACTTTTATGTTTCGGTAACTACAGAAAATTGTTGGAAATATATATATATATATATATATATATATATATATATATATATATATATATATATATATATATATATATATATATATATATATATATATATATATAAATATATATAAATATATATATATAAACATCATTTATGCACTCTGTGGGAGAAGCTTCACAAACTGTATGTTTCTTAAACAAGATTTCTGAGGGGGAGGAAAACAATGTTAGATAATTAGGTTTAAATGTACTTAAAGGGATAGTATACTCAAAAATGAAAATTTCTATCAATAATTACTCACCCTCATGTCGTTTCAAACCCCAGAGACCCTTGATCATCCTTGAAACACACATATATACAATATTTTTGATTAAATCTGAGAGCTCTTTAATCCACCATAGACAGCAACGGTCAGTGTTGCTAGATTGGTTGGTTTCAGATTTGATTGTGCAGGTAAAATAATGGCACAGGTGGGTTGAGAAAATTTGAAACGTGAATTTTATATGCAACTTATTCAACAACACTCCATTTAGTCAGTAGTGACAAGTGCATAGCGCAAATCGCGTAGGCCCACCTGCAAGAAGAGGTGAAGGAAAGTTGTATCAAAATCTGACTCCCGGACAAATCTGATTCCCCTCACACACATCATGTATCACCGGCAGTTAAACTTACAGCGGTTTATCCTGACACTTTTGTCGATAATTTTTTTACACAATTAACAGCAGGAACAAACATAGAAGCCTTGTCTGCTTGACAAGCAGCACCTAATTATGTTCAAAAGAATTTAAAATATCAAATAGGATGAATTTATACTCCATTTCGAAAGTAAAACATACTCTAATAGGTAGTGTAATCTACACAACAAGTGTAGTGTGTGGGTGAGAGGAGGCAGTGTTTCGATGTGATCTGTTTATGTTGTGGTTCTGTGACTGCTGGTGTTAGTTGCTGTATGGTTAAAAAATGGGTAGGTTAATTTCGATTTAAATGAATTCAAATTAAGTATTAATCTAATATTTTGGGCAGCTTTTTGTCAGTTTGGTTGTTTTGGACAGCTTTTGAACTGGAAAACATCAGCTTTATCTGGCAACACTAACAAAGCTCCAGAATTGTGCATGTGTCTTCAATGGTTTAATGGCTACATTATGAATATATGTATATTTATATTATATATAATTACTGAGGCCCACTGTTAGGCTCCCAGTTCACAACCACTGATATAAATTATATTCTTATCCTGCTTTATGGAATTAGTTTTTTTGCTTTGCGTTCACCACAAAAAAAAATCTCCACATGAAAACTCTAAACATACTGCAAGCAGCTGTAAACTAGCATGAGCAACCTGCTTCTGCATGTAAGAAGATAACTCTGCATCAGCAGGTATCAATAGTTCAAAGTGGGATGACAAAACGAGAACTGCAGATAAACAAACTGTGAATAAAGCAGGGCTTGGTAACCAGCATCATGCTGATCGCTTCCTTCATTCCAGACGCATCACGTTGTTAAAATATTTGTGGAAAAATCTGTTCAGGTGAGATGAATTAGCATTAGAACAGTCTTTAATCTGTCTAGAATTAGCTACTAGCTTTCACCCCTTTCGCATTTGTTGTCATAACTCATTCTTTAAACTGAACATCCAATCCGTGCAATCTCTCTTAACAATGGCCCTGATGCTGATTTAGGATATTCTATTAATGTGACACATTACAAAACTGTCCTGACATTAGGGTGCCACAAACATTTTAAAGGATTATTTAAAGGTCATTTTAAAAGAAATGGTTTTCATGCCTAATTAATAAGTTAGAATAGTCAAAACTCATCAGTTACATCATGTAAAAACTAAAATATCAATAATCCGAAATTTTATTTCAATCATCGTACTGTTAGTTTATTCTCTTCCAACATAAACAACACATAAACACCATTTCCTGTCTCATGCCTATTTTTAGAAGTCTTGTATGTTGATGTGGTTATGTTTTTATGCTAACGCTTTAATGTTTTGCTTCCTCTTTGGTCGTGATGCCACCTGATTGTAGGAAAAGGTAGGGCTGGAGAGTTGTTTAGTGCAGTGCAGTGACCCCTGCTGTTTTTGTCCTTCTGTGTGACTCTGTGTGTTGTTCCAGCTTTGTGATGATTTCTGATTTGTGACAAACCTCTTCCTGATGGAATCCTCTGTTTATACTGTGACCCTGTCTGTTGCATATGGTCTCCTGTAATCTGAATAGGTGAATGAGAACATCTCTGTCAACAGGTGTTCCAGCACACAGTCGTGTCTCCACTAAAATACAGCAGCTGCTTAACACGTTGAAGAGACCCAAGAGGCCTCCGCTCAGCGAGTTCTTCCTGGATGACTCTGAAGAGATCGTGGAAGGTATAAAGATTTACTGGAATATGTTTTATCATATTTTATAATTCTTTAAATTAACTTGTATGAATGGAGTTTTTTTTTTAATAAAATATAAACCATACAAACCACACTGAAAGTAATCATTTTTTAATCTTGATTTTTTTATTATTATTATTAATATTATTTTTTTAATATGTTCACATAGTCAGTTCGAATTCAAATAGGTGTACTCTCTGTATGTATCTTATTTAAATGAAATGGAACATAAATTTACCAAGTAGCATGTAATAGCAGTGATAGTGAAATTAAGCATTCTCAACCAGTGAACCGTTCAACTCAATTGTATCGGAAAAAGGTTCGTTACTTGAAGCTTTCCAAATCAGATCTTAATAAGGACATCTGGTGGTTAAAGTGTGGGTAAGCATTGTGTTAAAAATGTAAAACATTCATAACTGACCAACTCATTCATGTAAGTAATACACCAATAGTAATATAAACAAATTACACTGGTGTTCTTTAACATACAAGGTATGTTACATTACACCACCGATGACTAGTAAAATCCAAGGTGTTCATAAGTACTTTATCTATTCCAATCGATCCTACACCCACACTCTCGTTCTGAGCGGGAATTTAACTTGCGATTCCTGTATGGGAGGCGAATGCTCTGAGGAGGCTATTAGAGACTCTTGCGCTGTATTTGTCAGCTGCCCTCCTTTACACACTATACTATAATATTAATTCATTTTCTTTTCGGCTTAGTCCCTTTATTAATCCGGGGTCGCCACAGCGGAATGAACCGCCAACTTATCCAGCACATTTTTACACAGCGGATGCCCTTCCGGTCGCACCCATCTCTGGGAAACATCCACACACATTCATTCACACACATACTACGGACAATTTAGCCTACCCGATTCACCTTTATCGCATGTCTTTGGACTGTGGGGGAAACCGGAGCACCCGGAGGAAACCCATGTGAACGCAGGGAGAACACACACAGCGTCACATCACTGTATAATAGTACATACAGTACATAAAAATTCCTCATTATTTTATATAATGTTTCTTTTCTTTCTAGCATTAAATTACATTTTGAGCTCAAGTTTTTCATTGTGTCTTAAATTCTCCATTGGTAATGTATTCTTCATATTTCCCACTTGCAGTTCCCCAGCCAGATCCTAACACACCTAGGCCAGAGGGCCGGCAGATTATTCCAGTGAAGGGGGAGCCGCTAGGGGTGGTCAGTAACTGGCCTCCAGCTTTGCAGGCAGCGCTGGCACGCTGGGGAGCCACACAGGCTAAAAGCCCTGCTCTCACTGCCTTAGACATCACCGGAAAACCCCTCTATACCCTGACCTATGGTGAGATGTCACAATGTTTGGATGGATAAAAGCAGGACCTTAAACTAATATTCTGCCATTGATGACAATGACCTGTGACTTGAGAAATTCATAGCCATAAATATACAGTTGAATTATTTGCCCCTCTTAAAATTTGTTTTTCTTTATTTAAATATTTCCCAAATGATGTTTAACACAGCAAGGAAATTTTCACAGTATGTCTGATAATATTTTTTCTTCTGAATAAAGTATTATTTGTTTTATTTAGGCTAGAATAAAAGTTTTTTTTTTTATCATTTTAAAGTCAAAACCTAGTTAAGCCTTTAAATGTCACTTTAAGCTGTATAGAAGTGTCTTGAAAAATATCTAGTAAAATATTTATTGTCATCATAGCAAAGATAAAATAAATCAGTTATTGGAAATTAGTTAATAAAACTATTATGCATAGAAACATGTTGGAAGACATCTCTCCATTACACAAAAATTGGGAAAAAATTAACAGCGGGGCTAATAATTCAGGGGGCTATTAATTCTACTGGACTTCAACTGTCTATATTTTTAATAATTTTCCTTTTTTTTTAACCATAAATATCATGTGTGCCTTGATTTATACTCACACAAACACGTCACACAGTCTAATATTTAATTGAATTGTCTTTAGCTTTGGTTATGGCACTCATTCACAGTGGCATTGTCGTTTTAATGCTTCTGCAATGTCTCAGCATTTATTTATGACCAGGGTTACTAAGCTTGTATTGATTTTTTTTTTAAATCACAACAACAATGATGAACTATCTTTAGATAAAGTATTTCCTGATAATAATAATTGCACATATACAAAATTGCTCTTTGCTATTATTTTTTAAGATAACACAAAAGTAGAATATTTTGAAGATTTTTTCCACTATATTGCTCATGTGACACTTTTATCTCTGCAGGTAAACTCTGGAGTCGCAGTCTGAAGTTGGCGTACACACTGTTAAACAAACTTGGTACCAAAAATGAACCAGTCCTGAAACCTGGAGATCGAGTAAGATTCTAACACCATACCTTGGTACACACTGCAATCCCATACTTCTCCATGTTTTATTCTTTACATTTCTCTTTAGGTGGCGTTAGTTTATCCCAACAGTGACCCTGGGATGTTCTGGGTGGCCTTTTATGGGTGCCTTCTTGCTGAGGTCATTCCTGTCCCGATAGAGGTGCCATTATCTCGAAAGGTATGGTAAAGGTTAAGTTATGGTGGACAACTCTTAAAACATGACATTGACTAATGTAACGTTCGCTGTTGGTAATTTGATTTTTAGGATGCAGGGAGTCAGCAGATAGGCTTCCTGTTGGGTAGCTGTGGTGTTGGTCTGGCGCTCACAAGTGAAGTCTGTCTAAAGGGACTTCCAAAGACCCCGAATGGAGAAATAATGCAATTTAAAGGTTTGTTTCATGTTGCTTTTCTTATTTGGATTGTCATTGAAGCTTTAGGATGCCAGATTAACATGTTTTTGTTGTTGACAGGATGGCCTCGTCTCAAGTGGGTGGTCACTGATACCAAGTATCTCACCAAACCATCCAAGGACTGGCAGCCGCACATACCTACTGCAAACACTGACACCGCTTACATAGAGGTGAGTGTAGGCTGGAGAACACAACAGTTTTTAAGTGACTGAATGCTGTCAGTGTATTCAATTCTCGTGTGTGTGTGTGTGTTTTCAGTATAAGGCCTCTAAGGAGGGTACGGTGATGGGAGTGGCTGTGTCGAAAATCTCCATGCTGACACACTGCCAGGCTCTAACTCAGGCCTGTAATTACTGTGAAGGTGAGCGCTACAGATCAGTAAACACATTTAGATATCCCTGTCATCTCAGCAGCACAACACTCAGCGACTCTTGAATGCTCCATAATTAAGCACTAATTAATTTATAGCCTTTGGTTGGTCATAGATTTTTATTGGATTTATAGGATTATTACATTATATTTTTTTCTTCATATTTAATTATCAAATTGTATAATATTTGGAAATTAAATTATTTTGTGTTGTATTTGATATTCAAATCTCTGTTGTTAATTTTGTTTATCTAAATCTGTTGACTGTCTTATCTATGTTTGAGTCAACATTTATTTATTATTTGATATTTAACATATTAACTCTATATTTTAATGTTTTTCATAAACGTGATGGTAAGGGTAGTCATGTTCTTAAAGGGCCATGAAACCCCCATCTCAGCAGGGTGTTTTCTCACCTCTAGTTTAAAAAAAGTCAGGTAAGTGGGTGAGTCCAGCTTTGTTTAGGTGGGAGTGGTGAAAGAGGGAAGGGTTTGCATGAAAAGCGGAGTTTCAGTACGAGCATGCGCTGATTTTTACAGATGCAAAACAAACACAGACGCAGGAGAGTAAGACAGTGACTATGTTTACATGGACATCAGTAATCTCGTTATCTGCCAAATCATTAATTTGTTGACTTTAACTGCAGTTTGGCACTTTCACATTTTTAATTCAGGAACATTTCATGATATTGAAAGCGATGAATTGGAAGAGTGTTGTTTTAATGGAATGTTTGATTCCGCACGCCGTATGAGGTAAAAAAAAAGCGTTTTTCTGTAACTTAGATGCACTTGGTTGGTGCAGAGAATGTCGTCAGAAAGCCGTGTGTGTGTATAGACTATTCTGTCACAAAATAGTTTGATTAAGGTGTTTACATTTGGAGAGCAGCATTTACAGCGGATCTGTACTGTAAACTTGGTAACTAAATCATTTTGACTAAGGTATGTCTTTAAAAACTGAAAGATTATTGCTGATGATACTAACTACCTTGGCCTTTGACTGAATAAACATAAACAAAGAACATTGATCACATACTTACCAAATTCATAGAGAAAGAACAATCAACCAAGTCTTTTTTAAAAGAAGGCGAGTAGTATTTCCGGATTTCACCATTTCCAGATGCGAAAAGTTCTTGGGTAAAACATATTTTTGTTGCGTGTCAGTAGACCACTGTAATCCACATTTGAGTTCAGCTGGGCTCTCATAGCGGTGAAATGAAAACAAAACCTTTATTGCAGCATATTTAAAAACGCAACCCTGTCGACTCATGTCTCCAAACAATTCTTCTTTTTCAACTTGTTTTACTTACTGTTGGCAACACAATGCGGTGTCTCTCTGTCATCTGAACACTGTAACAGGTAAAAGGAGTCTTTGAAGCTATCATGCTTATTAATGAAGTTGCACCTCATACGCAAAAGAGCTCGCTGATTTTTTTCAAACCAAGTCTTTCTCTTAAATTAATAATGAAAACTCAAAGACTTGACGTTGTACTCGCCGGTACAAACATCCAGTCTCCTCGCTGGAACTTACACAAGGATTTCATTGCCGTGACATAGCTTCAAAATTTCTTTTCAAGCCGGAAGAACAAATTTGCTCGAAATAACGCAAAAACAACCAATTTACACTTTTTTGTGAAATATATGTGTCCTAATGGTGTTTTTAGCTATGTAGGACATATAGATGATTGTCAACATCTCAAAAAATGTGTTTTAGTGTTTCGTGACCCTTTAAGATTTTAAATTGGATTTTATATTTTCGGTTCCATTTTACCTTTCTGTTTTTGTCTTAATGGATTTGTTTTTGTTTTTGGTCACTTAAATAATTAAGCTCAAAACATATTCTTCTTAATCTTCTCATCTAAGATTTATATATTTACTTCAGCATTGTTTCAGTTCTAAATTGTTGTGTTTTGGTTAACATTAAGTACACAGAAAATACTTAATATGTATTAAATGCAGCTTAAATGCAGTTTGTTTTACATAAGTGTTGATGTTTTTATTTCTTTTATTATGTTAGGAGAAACACTGGTTAATGTCCTGGATTTCAAAAAGGACTCTGGGCTTTGGCATGGAGTTCTAACAGTGAGTGTGATTCTTTTCCCCAAATAAGTTTTTTTCTTGTTCCTTGTTTCCTTCATTACAATTTGTTTTAATCTCTTTGTGTCTGTGTGTTCTTACAGAGTGTTATGAACAGAATCCACACTATTAGTGTGCCATACGCTGTCATGAAAGCTTGTCCACTGTCTTGGGTGCAAAGAGTTCATGTTCATAAGGGTAATCATCCACAACATCTGTGCACATTAAGTGGCTCAAAAGGTCATGCTTCATTATCAAAATACCGTGAAGCTCATTCATATAAATGTGTGTACACACAGCTCGTGTTGCTTTGGTGAAGTGTAGAGACCTGCACTGGGCAATGATGGCTCACAGAGATCAGAAGGACACCAATCTGTCTTCCCTGCGCATGCTGATCGTAGCCGATGGAGCCAATCCATGTGAGTAAACAAGCCATGGGAAAGAGATTGCTGTAATTCAGTGCAAATAAATAATCCCTATTTCTGTCTCAGGGTCTGTTTCTTCATGTGACGCCTTCCTGAACGTGTTTCAGTCGCATGGGCTGAAACCCGAGATGATCTGCCCCTGTGCTTCCTCTCCTGAGGCCATGACAGTGGCCATCCGCAGGTACCTGCATGTAATCTTCTGGAGATGTGCAGTTTTTTATTGCACACTTAAGTCTGTAGATGTGTTTTTCCCCCTATAAAGTTGTCTCTCTGTGTGTTTAGGCCTGGTGCTCCCGGCACTCCACTTCCTGCCAGGGCCATTCTGTCAATGGCAGGACTCAGTCACGGGGTGATTCGGGTCAACACGGAGGATAAGAACTCTGCCCTCACTGTGCAAGATGTAGGACATGTCATGCCTGGAGGTGAGACTGTCCAACGGTTTGAACATTTCACTGTAGATTATGTGATTGTGTTGTGAACTGTTGCCAAGCTTTAAAGCAGCTGCTCTCTTGGAACATACTGCTGTGTGTTGGCAACAAATTTAGCATGTGATGCATACAAACAAATTAGTTTGTTTTGGTGGATTAAACACAAAATATAAAACAAATAAATACACCAGTGCATAATGTGTGTCAAGAGTTATAATGTGTGTCAAGATATTAAGAAAATGAATGTGTAGTTTTTTCCATAAACTGTTTCTCCTCACTGTAAGTATCAATGCTGTAATGCATGAAAGATAATCTAAATATTGTTTAATTTTTTATTAATTATATGATTATATAGGCAGAGGAATGTCTTAAATGCATTGTTGTATTTTTTGTCTTCAGTAAATGGTTTAGCATTTTAGTTGGTTAACATTAGGAATTTGGAAAGGCTAGCATTTAAAGCAGTTCCCTCTTTTCTTTCTGCATCACAGCTCTGATGTGTATTGTGAAGCCTGATGGGCCGCCAATGCTCTGTAAGACTGATGAAATCGGAGAGATTGTGTTGAACTCACGAGCCGGAGGCACCATGTACTACGGCCTGCCTGGGGTGACCAAAAACACTTTTGAGGTACTGATAAAACACATGGGAGTGAATGTATCTGATAGCAATACACCAAATACACAAGAGCTAAGTTCGAAATGGCACACTATACACTGTGAACTTATGCACTTACACTCTCAACAGCATAGTATATATGTAGCGTCATCCCAAATGGAACACTAATGTTTTTTTACTAAGTGGAAATTCAAAACGTTTCCCTGATGATGTTTGATGGTTGCCAAATTAATTAAATAAATGACCAAAGTATCAAATAATACCTGCCATAACCACATTGATTATCGGGAGCTGGTATAATCACTCTTTAAGGAGAATTTTTCTTTCACAATTCAAAATATAATAATTCAACATCAGTGCCAGAAAGCTCTGCCTCTTCCACTACGTGAGCAAATCAGCGGCTGTTGAGTGTGTGAAGTGTCCAACATACCTCACTTCTTTTTTTTCGGTTGAATAAGTGCATTATTGGGGTAATTAAAGTGCACTTATTATTTTTAGAGTTTTCAGTGTGATCGCACTACTTCACTATTTGTACTACAAAATGGTGTAGAATAGTGCATAAATATGTGATTTGGGATGTACCTACAATCACTCAAATCTCTGATCTGATTGGCCACAGGTGATTCCTGTAAACTCAGGTGGTACCCCGATAGGAGACGTTCCCTTCACACGCACTGGACTTTTGGGCTTTGTGGGTCCGGTAAGTAGAAATACAGTACCATTATGTGTATATATACATATTTTAAATGTATTTGTAATATCATATATTTTAAATGTATTTATTTTTATATATTATTTTAAAGTTTAGGTTCAGAAAGATTCTTTGGCAGAAATTAATAATTTAATTATAGAAAATCATATATTTTTTCCAAAACAATAAGTCCTGTATCTTGAGCATCAGGTCAGCATGTTAGTAGGATTTCTGAAGGGTCATGTGACACAGAAGACTGTAATAATAAATATAGAAAATGTTGCTGGATTTACATGTATTGGTCAAATATTCTCCTTTAATGAAAGAGAGAGAGAGACACCTGTACATAGAATAACAAGTCTGACCCCGCAATTTTCACAGTTAAATAAAGTATGAACAAAGCCTCTTTCTATTTGCCTCTGTGTCACAATAATTTGTACCCTCAGGGAAGTTTGGTGTTTGTGGTGGGAAAGATCGAGGGTCTGCTTAGTGTCAGTGGTCGCAGACACAATGCAGATGACCTGGTGGCCACAGCACTGGCAGTGGAGCCAGTCAAAACCGTTTACAGAGGAAGGTACGAACAAAACATATCGAAATTACAGGTGTTTAGACCGTTTTGGTAATGTGATGAGGTTCTGAGAGTGTCTGTCATGTATGCAGGATTGCCGTGTTCTCTGTTACTGTGTTCTATGATGAGCGGGTAGTGATTGTTGCAGAGCAGAGGCCTGACGCCAATGAAGAGGACAGTTTTCAGTGGATGAGCAGAGTCTTGCAGGTAACACACAAGCCTTCTTAAAACTTCATTTGTGTAAAGTAAAGTAGGTCATTGATATAAATGGACCTCAGCTCACTGGCTTCATCTAATGAAGCAAATAACAATGATAAATTCACAATATCCAATGATTCTACACTTTCATAATAATAAGTGTCATAACTCTTCTCTCTTTTTTTTTTGACTGTGTTCCTATAGGCTATAGACAGTATCCACCAGGTGGGCTTGTATTGTTTGGCGCTGGTGCCTGCAAATACATTACCCAAAACTCCACTGGGTGGTATTCATGTGTCTGAGACCAAACATCATTTCCTGGAGGGATCTCTGCATCCCTGCAACATTCTGATGTGCCCTCATACTTGTGTCACAAACCTTCCAAAACCCAGACAAAAGCAGCCAGGTACTCTAAAAATAAATACATTTTTAAAAACATAAGTACATACAGTTGAAGTCAAAATTATTAGTCATCCTGTGATTTTTATTTTTATTTTTCAAATATTTCCCAAAAGATGTTTAACAAAGTAAATAATTTTTTACAGTATGTCTGATAATAATTTTTCCTCTAGAGAAAGTCTTATTTGTTTTATTTTGGCTAGAATAAAAGCAGTTTTTAATTTTCAAATTAAGTTTTACTGAAGGTCAAAATTATGAGGCCCTTTAAGCTATAGTTTTTTTTTATGTCACCAGAACAAACCACTTTTATACAATGATTTGCTTAACTACCTCAACTTCTCTAGTTAACCTAATTAACCTAGTGAAGCCTTTAAATGCCTGTAAGCTGAATAATATTGTCCTGGAAAATATCTAGTAAAATATTATGTACTGTCATCATGGCAAAGATAAAATAAATATGTTATTGTAAATGAGTTACTGAAACTATTATGTTTACAATTCTGTTGAAAAAAAAAATACACAAAAGCATGCACATCACTTTAAATGGGTGCTCAGCCAAACAGATAAATTATATATAAAATTATAAATAAACTGTATATATAATTAAATATAATTTTTTTCTTCATTTTGTGATGTATTATTGGGATTTGTTTGTTTTTGTATTTCATTTTTGTTTTTGTACATGGTTTTAAATATGTAGGTTGTATAATTTTTGAAGGTGTATTTTTCTATTTTTTGTTGTGAGATAATGGATGAGATCTTGTGGTCCAGAAGTGTATAAAAAAAGAGCAACATACTATGATGAACACTGATAATGAGCCGTGTGCTCGAAACATTACACGCCTTGTATCAGCCTTTTTAATTTAATAAATCGCCTTTTTTGGAGTTTTGAATATATAGAATATACAGGGGGCTTATAATTGAGGAGGACTTCAGTTGTATATTATAGCACCTCTTCAGTTTTTATAGATTGATTTTTTTTAAACTTTTCTTTTCATTCATTTATTTTATTTTATTTTATTTTATATATATATATATATATATATATATATATATATATATATATATATATATATATATATATATATTATTCAATATAGCTTTAAAAATCATATTTTTTACGGTTGGGTTTATTAAAAAATACATAAGTTCTATTTTTTATTTAAATATTTTTTTTGTTGTATATTTAATAGACTATTTTTTTCATTGAGCTTTTTTTAATGTTAAATTATACTGTATTATGCATGTGTAAAACCCCTTAAATTACCCTTGTGTTATTGATATTTGATGTAAAAATAAGCTTGCTTTGCCTTCCAGTGGGAGTCGGTCCAGCTTCCATCATGGTAGGCAACCTGGTAGCAGGAAAGAGGATTGCACAGGCTAGTGGGAGAGATCTTGGGCTAATTGATGACCAGGAGCAATCCAGAAAGGTCAGTCAAAAAACTGAGGATTAGAAAATCCACTGTTAATCCCTAAACCCCATCCTAGGGACATAAAATTTTCAGCTACCTCAACAATGCCAATTAATCACTATAAGAGTTATAGAATAATCCATAATTGTACCATAATACACAGCTTCTCATTATTTTGCAGTCATTCCTCTAGTTTCTAGGTACCTCAGTGACTAGGATTTCCACCTTGAGATCTGGTTTAAATGATTAGTGTCTTTACAAATAGAGTTAAAAGAGAACTGAGGATGAAGAGAGTTTTTCTCATGTCCTCTAAGCTTGTGCTCTGGTCTGTCTTTCTCTCTCGTGCTCGGGCCTCTAGCTCTGTGTGTGGCCCACTAACATGGTAAGCCTGAATGCCAGCAACCCTCTGCTGTTTGTGTGCGCTGAGCTTCAAAAACCCTATTGCTACAATTCACATCATCAACAATTATCATCACGTCAGGGCCTTACATTTACAATATAGAAAAAGGATAGATTTGGATTTTTCATCAACATGAAAACAAAATTAACCTGTTAGACAGAATGGACTAATGATTTAGTTTCTTTTAATTGTGATATTATATCCTACATTAGCTGTGTAGCAGCTTACAGTCAGTTTAAAAGTCCAATCTGAAAAGAAATGCAGCTTCTGATAACCTCAGTTACAATAAAATGGCTCAAATTTCAGTCAGTTTAAGAAAGGTGGCATAAACCTTTTTCAATTAGACATGTGAACACTTGATTACACTGAATTCCAAATGCAGCTTTTCTGTATATTCAATGATGTAGAAATGGCTTCAATAATTCATTGTCTTTTAAAGGGATAGTTCACCCTAAATTAAAATTCTGTCATCATTTGCTCATCCTCCACCTTGTTTCAAACATGTTTGAGTTTCTTTCTTTGGTTGAACACCATCAAAAAAAGAGATATGTCCTGTTGCAGTCCCACATATGTTTTAGCACACACAATCCAGGACACACGATCTAGGCAGGGGCGAACCATATGTGGTTAATGACGGATGAGTCTATTTTTTCTTGTCTAACGACTACTAACTCCTTAGGAGCATTATCGCCAGCTACTGTTTTTCACCAATATGGTGATCGAGACCACCCGTGACTGAACAGTTTAGGGTTTTCCATTTCAGTCATTATTTCATTATTATATCTTAATGATCATTTTAACATCTGTGCATTTTTGGAGTTTCAGTTACTCATTATCATGTAAAAAAAAAAAATTAGTTAAAACGGTAATGATTATTATTTAAGCAAATAAATACTATTCAATCGCTGGAGTAAAATATTTATATGGTGTTAGACATTCATTAAATGTAAAAAAACATGTTTATTGCATATAAAGGTGTATTCTCACCTGTACATATTAACTTGCCTTTATTTTGTAAATAAATTGAATCCTTTATAGAAATTAAACCTGTCCATTTTAGATCATTTATAGTTTTAGCCTATATAGGCTATTAAATGATACTTTATTTATTTATTTAAACTTTATTAAATTAAATTACAACTTGCATTTTACTATTTGTTTTGGTGAATTACAGTTTATTGAGAACTACCCTAATCAAAGAACATTTAACTGAGCTCTGTGAAAAGTTTTGTAATCACAATTGTCCAAGACGCAGCACTGTATTAGATTTTAGCAAATATTAACAAAAGGTGGAGAAAACACCTCCACCTTCCACGGAGAAATAGCCACCCGCTGCATTGAGTCCACCGCCTTTAGAACTGGCCACTACTGAGAATAAAGCTCGCCTGCCCCCTAATGGTAATGTAATTCCTCATTCAGAGAATTTCTATGAGTGCTGAGGCTAACCATGTTTAAAGGCCCCATCTTTATCTCTAAAAAATGTTTCAGCAAATCCAGCAAAATCTGCTATACTCACTCTCAGATAAATAGGGATTGATCATTAGAGCCAGACAGAATCTGCGGACATTTTTAGCTCTTTCTGCGCAGAATTTTGTAAAAAAGGATATATATAAATAAATAAAAAAGCTTTTTAAAATTGTATTTAATGTTTGCTATGCAAATCCATTAGTTCCACTTATTTGGTAAACAAAGCAAGTGTCTCATATAGTGTATCTACTAAAAGACAGAAAATATTACTTTACAAACTGTATTGTAAATAAATCATATGAACAATTTTATATTAGTCAATAATACTACTAAAATTTATTTAAAAATTGAATAAATTTAAGTTTACACAAATAAATAAATTGACTCGATCGGCTGAAAATCTGCATATTTCTGCACGATGTGGGTCCTGTCTCGATCAATATATATATTAATGACAAGGTCATAGAAGATGTTAATAACAATAAAATCTGTTGTAACCACATATAGTTCGCCCCTGCCTAGATCCCATGTCCTGAATTGTGTGTGCTAAAACATGTGTGGGTCCGTAGGACTGCAGCTGGACATTATTGGAAAAAAAGAGCCATTGACTTCCATTGTAGAAACAAAAAATATTCTGGATGTTAGTTGCTGCTTTTTTCTACATTCTTCAGAGTATCTTGTGTTGTGCTCAACTGAATAAAGAAATGAATAAAGGTCTAGAACCTCAAAGGGGTGATTAAATGGTGTGGATATTTTTATTTTTGGGTGAACTACCCCTTTAACACTCTTGTATGATGACTTATTTTCGTGTGGATTTTAAAATTAATCTTACAAGTATCAATATATATTTACCTTGTACATTACCTTTACATTACATTACAGTTATGTACCTTGTACATAACTGTACATTGTGTAAGTAGTAGGCACACACACTTCTAATGCTGCATGGTGTGGTCTTTATTGCTACTTGCATGAGTCCTGCTGCTACAGTATGTGTGTGAGAGAGCTATGTTGATATGCCATCAATCCTTAATATCATAAACCTTAGACCTTTTTATTTGCTGGCTTAGTAATGCTGTTTGCTCCAATAGTGCTATAAGTTAAGCTGATGTTAAATATTAATGAGTCATGTTAAAACCCATAATGCAGTTTGAATGGAGGTGTTAAGACCTGTTTTCTTGTCTCACAGCATCAGTTCCTGTCTGAAGCCCTGCAGTGGCGAGCGCAGACTGACCCTGATCATGTTCTCTACATGCTGCTGAATGCAAAGGTGATGAGCAAGTGTACCTCATCAAATTGATTATTTAGACAAGCTGTTCTGTACTGAGAGGTTTTCTCTATTTGTCCTGCAGGGTGTAGCAGTGAGCACGGCCACGTGTTCACAACTGCACAAGAGAGCAGAGAAGATCACAGCGGCCTTGTTGGAAAGAGGAGGAATTAACACTGGAGACAACGTAGTACTGCTTTATCCTCCTGGTAATGGCGTCTAAAACAAATTGTACTGATTTGTTGCCCTCACTTGGTGTTATATTAACATTGTAATCAATTCCTTTTGAAATGACAAGGTTTTGTCCACACAGAAAAAAAGCTTGTTAAATAGCAGTAAATGTTAATGCAGGATATTGAGATTTGCTTTGCTGCCCCTTTGTTTGGCATCACTGGGATCCCAGTGATTGATATGTGCAAATGATAACTAGAATTTTAAATGATAACTTTCTGGCCCACTTACAATGCTCAGCATATAAAAGTACACCCACCCCTCACTAATCTATCTTTTATATTCATATTTTTAACAGGAAGCTATACAATATCATATTTGTACTTATACATTAAATTAGTCAGCACTGAAGCCAAATCTGGAGCTTATCTAACAAAATAATTTACAATGATGATCCAAAAACTAGTACACCCAAATTTATGTTATAGAAGAATTTTAAATACGAATTTAAAAAAAGAGGAAAAAGCAAAAACACTGAAAAATTTAGTTGAAATTTTGTAAATTGTATTATCTTTTTTAAAATTTCTAAATGTGTTTGGTGACTAAAATATTATTTTAACAAATATATGTTTAATAAATCTGTTTTGTTTATATGCATCAAAATACATTGCCTATATTCGCTGAGATACAAATATTCAGTTTTGAAAATGGGGTGTACCCAATTATGCTGAGCATATTTGTTAAGCTTATATTGAGTCCAAACCTAACAGGAAGGTTATAACACATCTACACAGTGTGTGTTTTAGAGTTCTTGTTGGATTTTTTTTTTTAATATGGGTAAACTATGCATTTATTTATTTATTTTTTTGCAATGTTATAGTGTTTTTTCCATTAGTTATTTAAAATATTATATCAAAATTACATCCACTAGTCATTTAAGTTTTTTTGTTTGCCATAAAAAAGAAATAAAAGTATTTTTGGAAGCGATTGGACAGGGAATTGAGTGATGTGCTATACCAGTAAATGTGGTGTAATTAAAAAAAAAAAAAACTTTATTTGGAAGGTGCGAAATATTTACAGTAAAGAAAAAAAAAAAAAAACTTAAAAATGAAGGAAAACAGCAACAATGTGCTCACTGAATATACCACAAGTATTCACTGAGCTGCTTGTATGAGTCAGCATTAAGACTAAAGACTAATTATAGACTAAAGCCCCACCTACAGGATATACCATGCTAATCTACAGAAATACAAAGTTAGTTTTAATTAAACTAAATAAACTTATAAACACTCAAAACAGCAATAGCAATATTTTTCAAACCGAAAATACAATAATCATACACAAAATGAGAGCACAAAAGCCTGTAAGTGTGTTTTAAAGTCCAAGTTTAAAAGTCAACAGGTACTTAATACTAATGAACTGATTTTTATCGAGGTTTGTTAACCATACAGTTTTGTTTCCTGTTAAATGGACATAAAAAGAATACAGTGGAAAATTAATGAGATTAGAAGATGTAAAAAAAAAAAGTCATATAGGCGTATAGGCGGGGATTTACATGAGTGTGAGCAAATTTGCAGAATTATCATTTTTGGGTGAAATATCCTCTTTCAAACTCCTAAAAATAGCAGCATAAATTACCACATGACATGTTTGTTTCTTCTTCCCTGCAGGCATAGATCTAATCGCCTCCTTTTATGGCTGTCTGTATGCTGGCTGTATTCCAGTCACTGTCAGGCCTCCTCATCCACAGAATCTCTCTGCAACTCTCCCCACTGTCCGAATGATCATAGATGTGAGTCTGATCATTTGATTTGTATGAAATACAAGCTGACATCTCAAACAGAGTTTTAAGACATTTCAAGACTAGATTTGATCAAGTGATTTTTACACAATGTTGTACTGGACATGCAAGATTAACCTATGTTTTTTTGCTCAAAGATGAAGACCCCACTCAGTGTTTGTACTGCACAACTTCCCTTTCTGTAAAACACAATTGTACCAGACTGTCCTGCTTTTAATGATTCTAGTAGACTTTTTATGAAATGAAGAACAATTTTTAACAAAGTGACACCAGCAAAATTATTTTTTTTAATTTTTATTGTGTATTTTGATTCATTTGTTTGTTGTTTAAATTGTATGTTTATTCTTGAAATTGCCATGAAAGTAGTCTTGCTTGCTGACATGGCATTAGATAAAAAAATACATTACATGACTCCGCATTTGATGTCATCCATTAATGAATGTATGAATTGTAGCGTATTAATCTAAGAAACCGTGTCTGCATCAGGTGAGCAAAGCAGCCTGTATCCTCACAACGCAGACCCTGATGAAGACATTGAGGTCTAAAGAAGCGGCAGCCAGTGTGAATGTGAAGACGTGGCCAAATATCATTGACACGGGTAAAAAAATTGCAACATTTTATATGACTTCTATGCCAGTTGAACAAAATTAATAGTCCTGACTTGACTGATCTTGTGTGTGCAGATGATCTTCCAAGGAAACGGCCTGCAAGCATCTATAAACCACCCACCGCAGAAATGTTGGCCTATCTGGACTTCAGTGTGTCCACAACAGGCATGCTGACTGGAGTTAAGGCAAGTCTTGTGTCCTTTCCTCAATTAGACTAAAGGCCCAGATATACTTGAAGAATGGATTTTTAAGACATAATTTAGAACAACAACAAACCAAAATGAAGTTTTATTTGGGCAGTTTCTGCAGAAGTTCACTCTGGCTAGTAAACACCTTTAAACTAACATTGATTCACCTTACCTTCTTTGACATAGACATCATCTCCAGTTTATATATTCGAGGTCAGACAAGGGTAAAAACATGAACACAACTTGTAATTGTTACTGAAAGTGAACTGAAACTGTAAACTTCCTTGCCATGAGGTAATTTATTGTATAAAGTGGTATTAAAAATGGGATGTGATTATGAGAGTCTCAACAGAGTGTTATTGTTGGCTTTAGGTTTATTTTGTTAGTAAGAGAAAATCGTAGCAAATGTATTTTTATATTTACAACATCATTCTCTGCAATATGGGGAGTGATCAGATGTTCTCTAATGGTGTACTGCTGAAATGTTATATCAACCATTATTTTACTTCTGAGGGAAGTAGAATAAACTTTGCTTTGAGTATATCAGGGTATTACAGTGTTTGCATTTCAATAACTAATAAAATCTTCAGCTGTTTGTTTTGCTTTTGGCAAGAGCAAGTATGTTGGATGTTGGTCTTATTAGTTTACATATTAACGTGAAGCAAAACTTTTCAAAGTTGGCTCAAAATGATCAATTCTTAAATGTAAAATGTGAATGTTAGAGTGGCTGACTGTAGTATTGGTTACCTAGTAACCAACAGCAGGGCTTGAAATTAACTTTTTTACTTGGTAGCACCGGTGCTCCCAACTTCAAATATTTAGGAGCACCAAAAATTTTTTAGGAGCACCAGAAAAAATTTAGGAGCACCCACCAAAAATGAATGAGCACAGCTGCAAATTGTTTTTTAAGGGATTTATTGTATTTTAAAACAACATTAATAGGACTGACAAAAACCAGAAACAACTATCTAACTAATGCTGTGAAGACATTGATATTTGTGTGCAATAATTCCAAAATGAATGTCTAATAATTAGGCCATAGAATATTAATGATGATAAAAAATGACAATAATAGTAACAATGAATTCCATTTCTCATTATGATACTGCCTTGAATGTGCATGAATGTAGGTTATCTGCTATAAAAAGTATGTTACCTTATGAAAAATAATTGTATAGTTTGCATCAAACAAAAATGAAGCATTGCAGTAAGAAATATTGATTTTGTACTGCTGTTTTTATATGCATGTCAATTTAATAAATAATATTTCTGCTACAAAACAAACAAAAGATTATAATAAATCATTCAATTCAATGATGAAAGCTGCAAAGCAGTCATCAGTAAATAAATAAAAAAATAATATACACCTCAAAAAAGAATAGACAAAAGAAAGAAAGTAAAGTCTCACTTCTATCACTCTTTAAAAGTTTTGGTTTCAGTTTGTGTCAATTTAAAGGTTCAGTCTGAGCTGATCTTCATGTTTCTGTGTTAGTGGAAAAGCTGGCGAGTCAGCCGACCCAATTTATGAGTAGGCAGAGCAGGTTTCTTGCGCTAACCATCGGCGCAATACCGGTCTTTGTTATGAGCCGCAGTTTCAGTGTAAACTTAGTAAAGGCGAGCTTCTTTGGCGATGATATGTACAGTATTAGATTTGACTTTTAGCGGACATTTGCGCTGAACGCAGTGAACGCAACGCATGGAGATTCGGGCGCCTTCTCCAAGAAGCGCGTACTCGATTGATCTCAGCTGGCGGATCATTATTCACCACGTGACGTGTCATGATCGCTTTCATCTGCGCCTCAACTTTAGGTGGGGTTTGCAAACCTGTGTGCTTTAAGTTTTTACTCTTCAGCCGTTTGCATTTCCTGTGGTCATAAAAGCTCCTTCCCTGTCATCTGACAGCGGAATACCTTGAGTAAATGACAGCTAATATGAACCAATATAGCGGCAGAGAAGAGCGATTCAGCACGTTTTTACAAAAAATCAAAACAGGTCGCACTACAACCATTATCTGCAGTCGCACTAATGCTCCCATATATATTATGAGGTCGCATAGATTAATTTTCGGGCGCATATGCGACCAAAATGGTCGTAATTTCGAGCCCTGAACAGTAAACAAGGCAAGCCTAATGCAGACAGCTGGTTAGCCCTTAGCTTTGTTTCCATCCACCTATTTTTATGCGTATTTTGGATATGCGCATAAAAAACAGTTGATGGAAACGCCATGATGCGCATAAATTTTGAAAATTTGTAGCATAATTGAGTCGGATAAATGTTTTATTCGATGAGTAAAGATACACGTAATCTATGATGGAAACACTTTTACCAAACAAATTCTACGATGCGCATTAAAGTCAAGTGATTTCTGCTGTAAGAGTTCATGCAATGATAAAAATGTGTGTGAATGGACTAACTAGCAGGCTGAGCACATTGTAAAACATCTAAAATGTTGTTTTGGTCATTCTAAAATGCTTTAACTATTTCAGTATTAGAGCTATTATATTAATTACCTCCAGACTCGAGAGTGTCTGTGCCCATGCCTTCAAAAGCCACCACTTGTTCATTGCATGTTGCCATTTGTCTTCTGGGGCGCAAGTCATTTATTAAATGAAGAAAAGATTCACACAGCTCTTCCTACCGCAGCAAATTCAGTTTTTACTGTTGATATTTGGCGCCAGTTAATCAGGAGGTGACGATTTTTTTTTAACTTGTTTGATGGAAACACTGCTTTATTCGCATGTCTTATTTGCGATATTTCAGTTTTGCGCATAAATTCGCATCTTTGGATGGTAACATAGCTACAGTGGTAATTTTCCCTACATCAGAGTTTATGACTGTGGTCATTAAAAATCCCATGGCACTTCTCATAAAAGAGTAGAGATATAATCCCAGTGTCCTGGCTAAATTCCTTGAATGGGCCCTTAACCATCATGGCCTCCCAATCATCCCCATTCACCTAATTGGCTCTATCACTGTCTCTCCACTCCACCTATAGCTAGTGTGTGGTGAGCGCACTGACGCTGCTGTCCTGTGGCTGCCGTCGCATCATCCAAGTGGATGCTGCACACTGGTGGTGGTGTGGAGAGACCCCCATGATGACTATGAAAGGCTTTGGGTGTATGGCCATACAAAATAAATGCGCTATATAAATACACATTACATTACAATCAGCAAATGCTTTTCCATTTCTCATTTTCTCACTTCTCATGCAATAGTTTTAAAATGCACATTAACACAGGGTGATGGAAACCCAGCTCTTTTGCGTAATGCCATCCTAACCAGCTTGTTTTTGTGCTTCATTCAGATGTCTCACTCAGCGGTCAATGCTCTGTGTCGATCCATCAAGCTGCAGTGTGAGCTTTACTCCTCCAGACAGATCGCCATCTGCATGGACCCCTACTGTGGCCTGGGCTTCGTGTTGTGGTGTCTGTCGAGGTAGTACAACATTTTACAGACATAATGCAATAAATCACGTTTATCCTAGGTTCAACTGTGACTGCACCTGGTGAGGAAATAATGCCATGCATGGAAATCATTTTCACATCTGTTTTGTTTGTGTCTAGTGTTTATTCAGGTCACCAGTCAATCCTGATTCCTCCCATGGAGCTGGAGACGTCTCTGCCGCTGTGGCTGAGCACTCTGAGTCAGTATAAGATCAGAGACACCTTCTGTTCATACTCTGTCATGGAGCTGTGCACCAAGGGTCTTGGCACACAGACTGAAGCTCTAAAGGTGAGTCGGCTGGATATAGACACATCACTGTTCTGACGTCTGGGGGTGGTACGATATGCTTTTATAATCACTAAGGCTGCATTTATATAAAAAGAAATACAGTAAAATAGCAATATTGTAAAACATTAGTATAAAAAGTTGCTGCAGTCTTAGAATCCTATGGTTTTCCACTGCTTTCCATGTTGTTCCTGGTGCTTTTTTAGTACCACCTCAGGTGAGGGTCCAAGCCATAACCTTAACAAAACGTGACAAACAGCAAGGAAAATTAATATTGAACACATCAAGTTTTTTGGAGCTTTTGACATGGAATTGAACCAAATACAAACAAATATCAAACAAAACTAAAGAAATGAGTTGTGTGTAATAACAATGAAATGACACAAAGAGAAAGTACTAAACTACTGAAACACTTTTAATACTTTATATAAAAGGCTTTTTTTTGGTGGCGGCAGCTTAAAGATGCCTCTCGTATCTTAAAGATGCCTCTCATCTTAATTGCTCAAGTGTATGTGTTTCACAGACTTAAACAGAGTTTAAAAATCTTGATGGTTCTGTGGGTCTCATCTATCAAATCGGATCTTTAATTTGTATTTTCTATTGGATTTAAGTCGGGTGATTGGCTGGGCACTCTACAGCTTGATTTTCTTTCTCTGAAAGCATTTGAGAGTGTCCTTGGCTGTGTTTTGGGTCATTGACTTGCTGAAATGTCCACCCTGGTTTTATCTTAGCAACGTAGATGTTGGAGTGAATCAGCGAATATTAATTTACAATGATGAAGGGCAGAGGGTTGCTGAATAACTACTAAGAGATTTCAGCTGCAGCTGAGCTTTCCACACCTCCCTTTCTTCATATGTTCAATAATTTTCCCTACGTCATCTCATTTTATTAGACATAAGTTTTTTTTTTAAACTAATTCGTTTTGTTTTCTTTGCATATATATATTTCTTAGGTTTTTACCAACATCCAGGTAAAACAACAACAAATTATTGTCAACAGCATTTTTAGAAATTTGTTTTCTCAGAAAAATATTGATGTGTTCAATACTTATTTTTACCGCTGTATATACACACCTATAATCACTGATTGATCAGAGTGATTTGGTACTGATTGCCAGTACCAATGTTATTGGATTTGCAACACTGAATCTGCTATATTTAAATAGACAGCAGCAGACACTGCTTTATTGTTGGTTCACATGGCTAAACAGTTTTATACCACTGCAAGAAAAAAACATTGTGGTCAGAAGAAGAGGTCCAGATGTTCCTCTGATTGGTACCTGAAGAGCTGATTCAGCAAAAGCTGGATGGGATGACCTGGAATGAAAGGCTGTTTCTAAATTACAAGGAAGCAGAGAACTGGCTCGTGTTCTTGTAAAGACCGGTCTTGCCAAGCTACATCGGCAGAACACGAGGAGACGTACTCAGGAGACCGTGAGAACAGAGAACCTGTCCTCTGAGAAATGAGATGCAGTGTTCTTCCTGGTGGTCACATGACCTTCACACATTTTAACGGAAAATTATTTACACATTACAGGATCATACAACAATTCAATATTTTCCCCCCTTTTTAATTTATATAGCATGTACAAAAACCTTACAAATATATGTTGCACAATACAAATAAAACAGGTTTTACTATGAATTTCAGCAAATAAACACCCTCAATGCGTTTATGCCTTTATTAAGATTTTCATTGTATTGTTTACTTTCACAGTCCTATTTAGGGAAACTCCTAAGATAAATAAGTTATATCCCTGAACTTTAATAATAAATCTTTATAAAATGCTGCATTTTCCCACCTCCTTTATTTAGTCGCAACAACTTCTGGGACTTCTAGAGCGAGTTCGGTGCTCAAATGTGCATCGGTACATCCTCGATACCAAGAACACATAGGGGCACTTTCACGAGTCCTCAGTTCTTGAGTTTTGAAACGGAACTTTGGCAGTTGATGATGATGTTGCACGAGGACACAAGATTGCTGAAGAACGTATATTGAGAAACAGCCAAAAAGTTTTTTCTGGAAGTCATGGCAGTGGAGGTGTTACAACCATATAATCCATGACAATAATCCATGATAATTTACTTCCGTCCCAGAGTATGAACTTAACAGGAGCTTTCAGGATCTTAACAGGAGCTTTTTTCTTATGTATTCCAACTCAGAGGTGTTTTTTTATATGCAAACCTCCAAAATGATGTGGATGAAGACATATATGCTTACTAAATATTAAACAAAAGTACTGTGCACTTTTAAAGTAAATTTAGGGTGCTTTTGTATCATTTGTGAGGCATAAAAATATTTCTCCCTATTTACTGCAATTGAACAAACACCAAATTTTTCACATTCCTCTTATTGTATCCAAGAAGAAAGTCAGTCACATGTTGATGATGACAGTTGGCTAAGTAAATAATGAAAGTTTTTATTTTTACAAACCCGGTAATCCACAGTAAAACGTCTTTCAAAAAAGATGTCAAGGTAAAGCAAGTGTGTATAAAAGCTGATGAGAGATGTGTATGCAGGCGCGCAATGTGAACCTGTCGTGTGTGCGGAGCTGTGTGGTCATAGCTGAAGAAAGGCCTCGACTTGCCCTCACACAGTCCTTCTCCAAGCTCTTCAAAGATCTGGGCCTTTCTCCACGTGCAGTCAGCACCGCTTTCGGCTCCAGAGTCAACCTGGCCATCTGTCTACAGGTTAGAGCAAAAAATACACATTACGTCAGCTGTGTCATAACACCAGCAGAGCCTCATTTTGATGACTGTCTCCTTTCCTCTCAGGGCACTGCTGGTCCAGACCCGTCCACTGTTTATGTAGACATGAAGTCCCTCCGTCATGACAGGTATGTGCTGGTGATGACATGAAAGGCAGTCTGTCCAGTGTGTGCCTACATTCTGACATTGTCCTTGTTTTTTTTCTCTGTGTTTAGAGTCAGGCTGGTGGAGAGAGGAGCTCCTCAGAGTCTGCCGCTGATGGAGTCTGGGACTGTAAGTTCTGCTCTGAGTTATCTTTAGTACTAGGCAGGTTAATTAAAATATGGTGTACTTGGAATGTAGTCTATTAGATTACTTTATGTAATCAAAAAACTAATACTTTTACTTTTTATTTTTGATTCTATAATGTTGTTATATATATATATATATATATATATATATATATATATATATATATATATATATATATTAGGTAGGTAATATAAAAAGTAACAAATCATTGTTAATGTTATCTAAATATAGACATTTTTTTGTGTGGATATTTACATATAATATGTACATATAATAACACGTATAGCAAATAAAACACAATAAAAGCAGATTAATTGTAATGATTTACTAGTACCATTTTATATTTGAATTCAGAAAAATTGTTAGTCTACCAGTAGCTTTAAATGAAACTGCTCACAAACATAAAATTGTATTTTCATGTCCCTCACTCTACAACAAATCCTTTTAATTTAACAGTATTCAGAACAGAAAAAGGAATGAAAATAAGTATTTAAAAAAAAAATAAGTGGTGATTATTATTAAAAGGCCATGAAACACCCAAATGTTTTCATACCTCTAGTTTGAAAAAAGTCAGGAAAGTGGCTTTGATTAGATGGGAGTGTCAGGTGGCGAAAGAGGGATGGGTTTGCATGAAAAGGGGAGTTTCAGTAAATCACACAGATGGAAGGGAGAAAGACGATGATTTGGAGAGCAGGATTTACAGCGGATCTGAGAGCTGTATGGAAGTGTCAGGTTTTCAGTCTATAATATTGTAGTGATATTACTGCACACTCTGTAACAAAATTTTGACTAAGGTATGTCTTTAAAATCTGAAAGAGTTCTGCTGACGATATTAACTAAGTTTGCCATCTGGAGAAACTTAAGCAATGAGCTTTGATCACACACTTACCAAATCCGTAGAGACAAGACAAAAGAAACAAACTGGAACCACAAATTTTTTTTTAAAGAAGACGAGTGGCAAATCCGGATTCTACCATCTCCAGATGCGAAAAGTTCTTGAGTAAAAAATGTTCCTTGCAAACATATTTTTGTCGCATGTTAGCAGACCACTGTAATCCACACTTGTGGGTAAACACAAAAGCGGTGCTCTCATTGCGGGGAAATGGAAACAAAACCTTTGTTGTGGCACATTTATAAACGCAACACTGATGTTCCTCTTCCTAATGAAGGTGCATCTCATTCACAATAGAGCATGCTGATTGGTTCGAATCAAGTCTTTCTCATGAATTAATGAACAGATGTGCTGAAAACTCAATGATGTCGCTTTGTACCGGCCGGTACAGACAGACAGACAATCTCCACGCTGGAATTTACACAATGGATCTCATTGCCATGACGCAGCTTCAAAATTTCTTTTTGAACCGAAAAGAACAAATTAGCTCAAAATAACGTAAAAACAACCAATTTACACTTTTAGCTAAATATATGTGTCCTAATAGTGTTTTTAGCAACGTGGGACATAAACATGCCTGTTAACATCTCAAAAAATGTGTTTAGGTGTGTTTCGTGACCCTTTAACGTCTAGCCGAACTCAAATAATGTCATCAAACTATTTTAAGTGAGTCTTCATGTGAGAAATTATACAAGAAAAATCATGTTACAGCTACATTTCAGATGCTACAAAAATTGTGACCTATTACTGGAAAATTCCTGACCAGCACTGTTCATCTTGCATGGTGGTTATATATTATCTTCTGTGCTTTACCTCAGATGCTTCCTGGAGTGAGAGTTATCATTGTGAACCCAGAGACTAAAGGACCACTAGGAGACTCTCATCTAGGAGAGGTGAACAATTACATTTGGATTATTACAGAACTACAATTTATTTTTAAGGATGTAAACCTGTGTGACTGTTACTCATCTCTGTTGCTCTTTGCATTTTCCTCTCAGATCTGGGTGAACAGTCCTCATAACGCCAGTGGTTATTATACGATCTATGGTGAGGAGAGCCTGCAGGCAGACCACTTCAACACTCGGCTGAGCTTCGGGGACACTGAAACGCTCTGGGCCAGAACTGGATATCTGGGATTTGTCAAGAGGACTGAGCTGCTGGACGCCAGTGGAGGTGATTGCTAAATCTTTTATGCTAAATGGCAGTGAGAACGTATGATAAAAATTTGTTCAATTAAATTAAACTGCATACATACAGTGCATCTAAATTGAGCTCAGGTACATTCTGCTTCGACTGATCATTCTTGAAATGTTTCAGCAGCTTATTTAGAGTTCACCTGTGGTAAATTCAGTTGATTGGACCTGATTTGAAAAGGCATACACCTGTCTATATAAGGTGTTGACTACCCAGGGTTGACAGTGCTCACTTTTCTTTTCCATTTTCCTCAACCAGATCGCCATGATGCTCTGTTCGTGGTGGGTTCCCTCGATGAAACACTGGAGTTGCGAGGTTTGCGTTATCATCCCATTGACATCGAGACTTCTGTGTCTCGGGCACATCGAAGCATCGCTGAGAGGTAGAATCTGCAAAATCACTTCCAATTCCTATCTGTATCTGCTTGTTAAGTGTGACGTTACGCAAAGTGGCTTCCAGGTCCAAGCGATCTATCAAAACTGTATGAAGAGAATCAACAAATTTAAATTACAAAAAGGAATGTATTACGTTCAAAAATCACGATCGCAGTATATATATATCCATGCCTAAAATCTGATAGCCAGAAAGTGATTTTTATAAATTGTTAAAATATTGATGTCTGTGTTGCAGCATGTCTGTAGACTGTTGTGTTCACCATGAGTTTATATTAAATTCACTCTAATATGTGATATGACTATAAACTGGTCAAAAACTAATATTTCCTCAATTCAAATGAGCAGCTTGGACCCGGAAACAGTATTCCATGTCGCGACTTAACAAGCGGATATCCACTATTTCACTATTGTGCCGAACCATTACTGCAATGTGTGTACATGACACTGCTACATTTATTTTTGCTGGTGGTTTTTCATATATGGTCAGGTGGAAGTGCTGTATTTATTTATTTATTTATTTTGTCATTCAAAAAAGTAAACATAAGGAAAAAAATCTGAAATTGTGATCGTCCATATAACTTTACATTACACTTATGTTACCAAGGCAATGACTGGCGCATTTGTATTACATTCCAAAGAGTTCTGTTATCAGCATCATTGTGTGAAATGAAACCGTTTCCATGTTAATTGATGCGGAATGGAACGGCAAACAGAATCATTCGGCTCAATAGTGGAAAAACATCTTATGTGTCAGTATGTGATCTACCTATAATTCATGTCTCTAAATGCACTCCATCTTCCAGTGCCGTCTTTACGTGGACCAATCTTCTGGTGGTGGTGGTGGAGCTCAGTGGCTCTGAACAGGAAGCTCTGGATCTGGTTCCTCTGGTCACCAACGTAGTGCTAAAAGAGCATCATCTTATAGTTGGTGTGGTGGTGATCGTAGACCCCGGCGTCATTCCCATCAACTCAAGAGGAGAGAAACAGCGAATGCACCTACGCGACTCCTTCCTTGCTGACCAGCTGGACCCCATCTATGTGGCGTACAACATGTGATAACTGACGACAAGTGCTTAAAGCTCAACGCGGCACCCAAAGACACGACTCTTCCTCCAGACTGCCCCTGCGCTGAGCCTTGTACATATTTGTATGTTCTCTTTAATGTGATTGTTGCCTGATCGACCAATGGCGGTCACGAGGCTCAAGCCATCCGACCTTCTCTGGAGCTTCCAAGAGGGTGGTGCTGTTCTTCGAAAACACATTTCTGCCCTTTAAAACAGGTGAAAGCCGCATTTTCGCCACTTTCAGATAGGCCTCTTCCATTGAAGCAGCGCTTGTGCTCTTGTGGTGAGACCTGAGGGACTTTTCTGCGCACTTTATCTCACGGGCTCACAAGAGAGTCCTTCGATTTGCATTCTGGAAGCGCTAACTTGGATATCAACAACAGTATCACCAGCAAAACAAACATATCTTCTTTTACTCAAAACTGCTAGTCATTTTAACAATTTTTAAAATGGATGCACCACATTTTAATGCATAAAGGGTTTTTTTTGTACTCGCGTTTTCAACTGTAATGCACAACAGTAGTGAACTGGAGTGAGGAGGTTGGTGAAACTCCTTGCTGAAAGCACAGGAATTTTAACAATACATTCGTATGCAATGCATTAAACATGACCGAAACGTTTCAAAACGAGGACAGTTCCATGCCTTATTTTTTAATCGTTCCTGATTGTCTGAACGGACTGGAATGACGACCAGATAAAAAAAAAAAACGGTGTTTGTGTGTAGACTATATATTGTAGTGTCTCACTGGTGTTACAAATGGACCTCTTTATTCGGTCCTCCAAAAAAACTTGACTGATCTTTCATACTTGATGGCAATTCTCAGCATCGAGATCATGATGCTTAAACAATACATATTTTTACACATTACAGCGTCACACAAAACTGATCATTTTTATGTTTTCTGTTTCTTTCAAGACTTGTTAATATTGACGAACCATGATGTTGCTGCAAATCTGTGTGAACGGCTCTTCTGGAGAGTTTGAATGTGCAAGAGAGAGAGAGAGAGAGAGAGAGAGACAGACAGACAGAGCAAATGAGGTAGAAAGCAAGTGTTTTAACCAAGGCTTTTTGATATGTGGACAAAGAATGTGAGCTCAGAGAGGAGTTAATTTTCTATCCTAATTAAATGACAATAACTTTTATTAGCACCTAACATGTTTCTTTCAGAATGGCCTTAGATATCAAAATAATCTTTCTTCCTGCAGATTGTTTACATGTGAATTTCTGCGCAGCTCTTTTCTTTAACAAATGCACACATTCTCATAACGTTTTTTTCCTTTTGTATTTTTAATTCTTTTCTTAATTGTCAAAATATTCAGTGTGTCGGTGCAAAATTTATAAAGTTTTATGTTAATTAAATTTATTGTCATCACAATCTTTTTACTGTCTTTATTACAGCAATCTATGTGTAGATATGAAACATTTACTGTATATCAAGGGTGCCCAAACTCAGTCCTGGAGGGCTGGTGTCCTGCATAGTTTAGCTCTAATTTCTTTCAACACACCTGTCTGGAAGTTTCCTGTATAAAGCTTTTTACTTTGTTGCTGCATGGAGAGTGCCATAGTGACCAGCGCTTTTAGGTAGGATGCTTAGAACTTCCGTTAAGAAATTTCATCAGCCAGAGCAGCAATTCTTAATTGGGTGTCAATACTCTTATGGAGTGTTGTTGAGATGCAAAACTTTAATTTTAAAAGAAAGGTGTGTTAAAGCTGTTAGCTTCTGTCAGATGCGGTTCAAGTGGGAGAGAAAAGCGTTCCGCTAATGTGTCTGCTATCAGATCAGATGCTGAAATACAGCTTCAGTGTTCCTTACTTGTCAGCTGTTATGATGTACTCTATGGCTTTTCAATTCAAACACACACACACACACACACACACACACACACACACACACACAGACAATACCTCACTGCATTATAAAGAGCTAACCATATTACTCGCATGAAACTAGGTAAGCCATGCAATTTCCAGAAATAACTAATAAAAGTGATTGATACTCTGCTGGCTGATTTGCATGTGGATTCTAATCGAGAGCATTACCGTTTCATTTAGTTAGTGTTTGTTGTGTAGTATGTACAATGGTATGTGTTTTTCTGTCATTTCAAAATGCCGCTTTATCAATGTGTCAGTGGAACAGTTAGTTACAGGCTACGTATGTCAAACATTTTGGTGAATTACATTTGTTTGGGTTGAAAGAAAGAGAAGATGTTGACTTTAGCGATGACAAGGCCTCATTTAAACAGTACAAGATGCCGCCTGACAACAAGGGACAAAATGCCTTGCAGCAGTTGTTTTCCATCCTATTAGATCGTATTTTTTAAATAATCAGCCCAGGAGGTTACGCTAATCAACAAGTAAAGTATTAATTTAGAGACGTTTAAAGCAAGTAAAATAGATTCAAACTTTTGTTTTAAAGCCTTCCAAATGTGACTCTGTATATGCATCAGCTGCCGAAGTTCTTAGCATCCTCCTTGTGCATACATGCAAAGCATAATGGGTATTTATGCGTTCTAAGAAAAAGGTCTATACCTAAAGTAGAAAGAGCTTGATTAGCTGGTTCAGCTGTGTCTAATTGGGGTTGGAACTAAACTCTGCAGGACATCAGCCCTCCAGTACTGAGTTTGGGCACCCCTGATTTATTTGAAGAACTGCAAACTAGTTCCTTTATCTTTAACCATAAAATCATACATCAACCATCTCTTATATGTTGTTTATTGTAAATACAGCTGGGAGATCAAATTTCATTGTATATGACATCAATTTTATATTGATAACATTTGAAGGACAGTTTTATTTTATTTTATTGTTAACACAGAAATAAATGAAACAACAATTGTCCAATATAAGTCTTCACTAAATCCCACCAAAATAAAAGTTTAGTTCAACCAAGAAATCACACACAAATTACTCTCATATACTAAAATGTATTTTAAATAGTAGTTATATTAATATGAATAATTATTATTGATAGAAATAGTAGTAATAATATTATTATTAACATTACGAATGACCATTTAATTAATCAATTTTTGAGCATCTACACTGACGGAAAATACAATTGTTTTTCATTTGATTTCAATTTTAAGGAATAATTTAATTGTTACAGTTTTATTAATTTATTTAGAAAACATTTTGCTGAATATTTTTGTTAAATCATGAAAACCAGAATCCAGAAAGAAATTAAATGGAGACAACATTTTAAAAGACAAAAGCCATTCCAGCACACCAGGATTCATCATATAAACTCAAAGTAAATTCGGCTTTGTCCACCAGAGGTCACAATATACTGAATTTCATAGATTTCACAAGGCTTTATACACTATATACGTTAGCATTAGCAAAGTTAAGGTACAGTAAGAACATGTATGAATTTCAATAAGATTAACACATTTGTAAGTATACAAGAACTAATAAGTAAGACACTCCAGACAGATTAGATGAACACTAAAGCCGCTTGCTCTGACGGCTGCATGAATTCAGCTTGATTTCAGATTAAGCTGACATTCATTTCTTTCTCAATCCAAAAAAAGTAAGTGTGGACTTTAATATAAATATTTGGTTGGTGGGGTAGTTCACAGGAAGTGGCCTTCACTCGAAATCCAATCAGGAAGTAGGAGTGGAAAATTTTGATGTAGCAGCTCAGCGGTCCACCAAGATTTGTCTGCATGTTATAATATAAACACATGCTTAATATATCATGAATGCCCAGGTAATAAGTAGCTTAAATCAGTCCACATTTAAACTGTGTTGTCTAAATAAATAAAAAAAATAAATAAATAAAAAAAATAAATAAATAAAAAAAAGATATATATATATATATATATATATATATATATATATATATATATATATATATATATATTTATATATATATATATATATATATATATATATATATATATATATATATATATGCTGTAGGTCAATTTGAATTTAAACATCAAAACAATAATTACAGTATGGAAAATGTTATAGTTAGATTTACTGTAGATTTCGCAATATTCACAAACCGATCACTTTATTAGGTACACCTGTCCAATCGTTCTTTAACGCAAATTTCTGATCACCACATGGCATCAACTTAATGTATTTAGGTATTTAGACATGGTCAAGACGATCTGCTGCAGTTCAAACTAAGCATCAGAATGGGGATGCAAGGTGATTTAAGTGACTTTGAATGTGGCATGGTTGTTGGTGTTAGTCTCAGATGGGCTAATCTGAGTATTTCAGAAACTGCTGATCTACTGGGATTTTAATGCCCAACCATCTCTAGGGTTTACAGAGAACGATTCCAAAAAAATAAATTTCTAGTGAACAGCAGTTCTGTGGGCGCAAATCCCTTGTTGATGCCAGTGGTCAGAGGTGAATGGATAGACTGGTACCAGCTGATAGAAAAGCAACAGTAACTCAAATAACCACTCGTTAAAACTGAGGTATGCAGAAGAGCATTCTGAATGCACAACACATCCAACCTGTAGCGGATGGGCTACAGCAGCAGAAGACCGCATCGGGTGCTACTTCTGTCAGCAAAGAACAGGAAACTTGAGACTACATTTTGCACAGGGCCACCAAAATTGAACAATAGAATATTGTGATGACAGGGTCAGAATTTGGCATCAACAACATGAAAGCATGGTTTCATCCTGCCTTGTATCAATGGTTCAGGCTGGTGGTGGTGGTGTAATGGTGTGGGGGAACTTTTCTTGGCACACTTTGAACCCATTAGTACCAATTGAGCATCGTGTCGACGCCACAGCCTACCTGAGTATTGTAGCTGACCATGTCCATCCCTTTATGACCACAGTGTATCCATCTTCTGATGGCTACTTCCAGCAGGATAACGCTTCATGTCATAAAGTGCGAATCATCTCAGACTGGTTTCTTCAACATGACAATGAGTTCACTGTACTCAAATGGCCTCCACAGACACTAGAACTCAATCTAATAGAACACCTTTGGGATGTGGTGGAATGGGAGATTCACATCATGGATGTGCAGCCGACAAATCTGCAGAAACTGTGTGATGCTATCATGTCAATATGGACCAAAATCTCTGAATCTATGCTATGAAGAATTAAGGCAGTTCTGAGGGCAAAAAGGGGGCCAACCCAGTACTAGAGAGGTGTACCTAATAAAGTGGCCGGTGAGTGTATATTAAAGTAATAAAACCAACATTGGACACTGTAAATCACTTCAGTGCTGATAAAGTCAAAGGTAGTACAGTCAACCATTTAAACGTTTGTGGTCAGACCAAACTTTTGAAGTGTAGGTCAAATATAAAAATTAAAACCATGAGAGATTTGAATAATTAAAGCCCTTATGAATAATTTTTTTGTTTATAATTATTTTTAAGGGTTTTTTCATCTTTATTATGACAGGACAGTAGAGATTTCAGACAGGAAAGTATTAGGAGCAGACAGAAGGAAAGGACCTCGAGCCGGGAATCGAACTCAGGTCACCGCGAGCAAATCGGTGCTATATGTCGGCACCCAATACCACTAGGCTATAGGCACTTACTGTACTTTTGAATAATTTTTAACAATGGAGTGAGCAGAAATAAAATGAACTAGTTAACTACATATTATATTTATTTATACAAGTTCTTTTTCAAATATTCAACACATGTAAACAGTTTTAATAACTAATATGTACTTATTTGTGTTTACCATGATGGCAGTACATATTTAACTATTTATTTTGCAGGATACTAATATTCAATTTAAAAGCTAGGTTAATTTTGTTAACTAGGCAAGTTAGGTTAATTAGGCAAGTCACTGGACAACTATGTTAAAAAATATATAAATAAATAAATAAATAAATATATATATATATATATATATATATATATATATATTTTTTTTTTTTTTTTTTTAGGAGAGCCCATAATATTGACCTTAGCTATTTTTTATGATTAATGTTTAATAATATATTAATTTATAATATTACAATTAATGTTTTATTCTAGCAAAAAAAAAAAAACAATATGAAATACTCTGAAAAAATGTCCTTGCTCTGTCAAACATTATTTTGAAAATAATGACAATTTCAGAGGAGGACTAATAATTTTGCCTTTAAATGTACTAGACAACACTATTTTTCTCCTTAAATTAAACGCTTCTCTTTCACACAATTAAAGAACTACAAACAGGTAAAACATACCTCACATCCATTGATACCTCCATCGAATTCACCAGCACAAATAAAGTCCGGTGACACAGTATAGTTCCAAAACAATGGCTTATTGCACAGTGACCGTGTTATTAACCACACTTTAGCTTCTTGCAGCATTCCAACATCATCTGAAAAATGTCAAATGAAATAATCAAAAAGGAGAAGGATAGCATTTCCAGTAAACAATCCAAAGTAAGAAACTCACCACCAGGTTGAGCGTTGTATCCTGTGATGTAACAGGACTCAAAGTTATACTGAGCTATATTTTCATTAGGCACGCAGATGGGTAAGACATAACTGTCAAACACAAAAGGGGTCTTCATTTCTAAAAGGGCAATATTGTAGCGCATGCTGTAAGGACCGAATTTCTTATGTACAACACTTCTAGAGACTTCAGAGATCTGTGTGGACACATCATCAACATCCAGGCTGTTGCTGCCAGCTCGGACCAAAAGCTTCCTGTTGGAGAAAGTTCAACAATTTCAGGTTGTAATGTTGAAAATAGAGATAGTACCTAGTTATTACAGAGCTTTGTTGTACAATATTTAATATATGTAATATTTTTGCATTGATGTGCGATATTAGTCTCACATTTCTGAAGCATTTAACAAATTATTTTTATATGGTACATTACATTACTGTTATATTCTTGTGGTAATGAGTGGCATTACTTACACATGTATTTTTATAGTGTTTACCACATTTTTTGATGTACAGTACATACTATTCCTCTAATATTCTTACATTAATGTGCAGTATTGCTCTCATATTTTTGTACGAGATGTGTTTTTCCTGTAATATTCTTGTGGTAATCATTGATATTACTCATTTGTTTTTATAGTATTTACCACATTTTCTGTTGTACAGTACATACTATTCCTCTAATGTTCTTACATTAATGTATGGTATTATTCTCACATTCTTGTAAAGATAACATATTCCTGTAATATTCTTGTGGTAATGAGTGGTATTATTGAACAATTTTGTTGTACTTTATGTGATACTCCTGTAATATTCTTGTGCTGACGTGTGGTATTACTCTCACATTTCTGTAGTATTTACCACAGAAAGTTTTGTATGTAAAATTCCTGTAATATTATTGAGCTTGTGAGTGATTTTACTTCTATGTTTTTGCTGAATTTAACTTCATTTTGTTGAGGTTTTCTTGTAATATTCCTGTGGAAATATGTGTTAATACACACACACACACACACACACACACACAACATACAAAACACGGCATGAATGGTAAATTATTGTGCTAACGTTACTGTACAATAGAAAGTGCCGTCGTACAAAATCCTGTCATATTGTCATTCCTGTCAAAACCCTTATTTGACGTGTGTTAAATGTATGGAAAGGATTAACGTAACGTAAGGGTCCATGATTATTATTTGAGACATAATATTACCCTTTATCTTCTAATGCACATGCGGCAGCTGTCATAACCCATTTTTCATGAACAATAGCTCCACCACAAATCTGACGAAGCGGGGCAGATGAATTGGGCTGGTACAGGATGGACACCTGCCATGGCCAAACATCCACGCCGACGTTCACTCCGCCGACCATCCGGGTACTTCGATGTCGGACCGGCCTCAAAGGCCTGTCGCCGCAAATCCTGTCTAGGAGATCGACAAAAACACACAGGTAACGTATAGCATATTGCCTTAAGTTACTAAGCTGATTTTTTACGAATGTAACGATAAACTTAACTTACATTTTTCATGAGGGGTAGGGTAATTTTTTGCAGCCAAAATAATTAACATCAAGCCGACCACAACAACATGTATTAAGATAATTTTAAGTCTACGGTGCATCTTGGAAATGTCGCTTTGCTGCAGTCTGACGTTACTTCATGACAGATTTTTTGTCGGTTGGATAACGGTCAAATATATTTGAATTCTATTGTGTAAGTCATTGGCTTGTTGAAAAAGGTATGGGTTGTTGCTATCAGAGATTTGTTGCCGGAAGTTTACGAGAATGATTTATATTACTTATTGAATTTCACATTAATTGTATTTGATTAACGTCTACCTCCTACTTACCTAACGTGCCTAGCCCAACCATAAACCTAACTGTCACAGTAATGTAAAAACGGTAGTTGTACTGAGTATTATTTATGTTATTTATTAAATGACCCCAAAAATTTAATTTTTAATGTCTACCCCAACCCTAAACCCAACAGTCATAATAATGTAAAAACAGTAGTTCCTTATTATTCATGTTATTTATTAAATCACCCAATGTAACTTTTTAACGTCAACCCTAACCCTAAAACCAAAAGTCACAGTATCGTTAGTTGTACTGAGTACTTATTATATTAAATTACCCAATAAGTTTTATTTTTAACATCTACCCAACCATTACAGCAATGTATAACAGTAGTTGTATCAAGAATTTTGTTATTTATTTTTCCAACAAATTACATTTTTTTAACATCTACCCTTACCCTAAACCCAACTGTCACAGTAATGTAAAAACAGTAGTTGTACCGAATATTATTTATATTTATTAAATTACCCAATAAATTAGAATCTCACTGGAAGTAGTAGGTCATCTGAATACTTCTCACATACTTTTTTTTTGAATTCTTTAAATTCGGACATACTCAGCTCACATACTGTTTTTAGCGTACTATATAGTAAAGCAGTATGCGATTTCGGATGCAGCCTATGTAACCTAGGCTAGTCATAGCATTTATATACTGCTACTCTCTGTTGATTTGAAGTGCTTCTTGTATCCTCACTGTAACTCGCATTGGATAAAAGCATCTGCTAAATTAATAAATGTAAATGTCATTATAAAATTAATTGCAATTATAATTTGGCAACAGGCAATAAAATGCAATATTCACGTCACATTGCCAGACATTTCAGATACTACTAATTAAACAATTAAATAAAGGCAAGCCATCATTTAAGAGATGCTTCATTGAAAGGACTGAAAAGCAGCACATAGAGATCTTCTGATGGCACATCTCACATTGACAGCCCCATCCATGCAGAGAAAAACAGGGTTAAGATTAAAATAAAAACTGGCAGATCTGTGACTGGAGCAGCAGATATAGATATTGCTTGAGCTTTTCTCAGCCAGTCTGTGTAACGACTTGCACGAGCATATATGCCAGGTTTCTTTGGCAAAGCACAACCATCTCCATGACTTGTCACACCAAAAAGGTAAAATCTCTCCTTGTCTTGGCTGTAACACTGCAGAGGGCCTCCGCTGTCACCCTGGATTGAAGAATATTTCAAGAGATGTTGTTAATCGCTGTCTATCACTAAGCAGTTACTCTGCGATGTGATATAATGAGACAACATTACCTGACAGGTGTCGACTCCCCCTGTTTCAAATCCTGCACAGATCATGTTGTCATTAACATGGCCATTATGCCACCATCTCTGGTTGCAGATTTGAGTGTCAATGAGCTCAACTTCAGCTTCCTGGAGAGTGTTGTATAACTTTCCTAAAAAACAAACAATAGCAATCTGAATCAATCTTTCTTATCAAGAATAATAAAACAATGTTAATGTTATATTTTAATGTAATATTCAAATTTTTCCCAAGTGATGAACAGTGCATGCGGAAAGTGTTGATAGCGCTTTACTTTTTCCACATTTTTTAATGTTACAGCCTCATTTCAAAATGGAATAAATTCATTTATTTCCTCAACATTCTACACACAATACCCCATAGTGTGAAAAGATTTTTTGAAATTGTTGCAAATTTATTAAAAGTAAAAAACCTAAAAAAATCACATGCACATACTCATTTTTAACCATAATAGTTTTAATAAATAATTTCTAATAGCTCATTTATTTTGTTGTTATCAAGATGACAGTACATAATATTTTACTAGTTATTTTGCGACATCATAGTATTTAACTGTAAGTGCATCTAGGCAAATTAGGTTAATTAGTTCATTGGACAGACTACTGATAATATTGGCCTTAAAATGTTTTTTTTGTTTTTATTAAAAACGGATGGGGGTCACAGTGGCGCAGTGGGTAGCATGATCACCTCACAGCAAGAAGATTGTTATCATTATCTCACATTATCATTATCTGTCAGACCAAAGGTGGTTCCTTTTGAGTAATTTTTTGGGCTCGTCATTAATGACTAGCCTGCCTTTAGGTTATGTAAAGTAAAAAAAAAAAACATACACAGAGGCCAGTGGGCAAATTTGGCCAGGATTAAACCCCTACTCTTTTTGAAGGACATACTGGGATTTTTAACGACCACTGAGAGTTGGGACCTCGGATTGTCTCATCCCGAATAACAACACTCACTGAGCAGTATAGACCAATTACCAACCTACGTCACACATGACGCTACACAGGTCCCTGGTTGCAAAAAAAGGACAGGCTGCAATGGGAAAAATGTTGTTTTGTGTGGTAGGATGCCGAATTCGAGTCCAAAAATAGAAAACTTAACTTTTACTATACACCACACACTGCTTTAAAACCGACTGCAGATGTGTTTGGCCATGCTGAATCATACACATCACTCGTTTATGATTGCAGAAATGATTTTAGCAAAAACAGTTACATATGGTGAATTAAACTGCGGACACTGAATGCTAAGAATGAAACGTGAAAGTTACGTTTATTAAGGTAAAGTTGGTTTTATATTCACACATTCATTCAGTGACAACTTGTGACAAACTCCCTACATTGTTTACCACGGCACTTTGAATATTCGGTCTGAAATAACCTGCAAGTGTGACTTGAAAACAACATTAACAGTTTATTTGACTGTGAACATGTTGTACTTTAATAGTCATTGGCTGCTAATAAGATTTCGCTATTTAGAGTTTGCAAATAATACTTTAATGAAATTATATTGTTAAGGAGAAAGTCAGAATGTGCGAATATAAAACCGACTTTACCTCGTTCACATATCCTGCTGTACTGGTGCAGTTCGCTGTCAGAATGCAGTCGTTTTGCGTGTTGGTGATAAATTACCCAGGCCTTGTATAACATTAACTCCGTCTTCTTTCCTTTTCTTTGGCTAAGTAGAATCTCAGTTGTTAGCTCTACATAGTGTTGAATCTGGTCATCATGGAGCATTATTTCTTGCACATGACCACACAGAACAATATTGTTGGCATTCAAAGACTTGTAGACCTTTAACTTCTCTCTTGTAAAATCACTTGGAGCTTCAATGAGATTGTATATTTGAGGCTGGATGCTTGGTCATTTCGTCTTATCCAATATCCATTGGGTGGGTGCTATCGCAAATGGACCTGTCAGATGAACGCCGCTCACTTTAACGTTAATTTTGCCGAATCACTGTGCTTATCACTGGCCGACGAGCTGTTATAATATGCTGAAAGCATTATGTAAATAATATATATAATGTGTAATCAATATATCTTATTTCTAAGACAACAACAAACTCTGCACCCCATCTGATGTCATTCCCTAAATGCTGGCGCTCCCGGTTTTTCTGCCACCTCCCTGTGCGCACATCCTGAATGTTTACAAACATGGTAATTGGTCTATAGAGTCCCCATCAATATACTTTGCGTTAGGACCCACACAGACCGCAGGTTGAGCGACCCCTGCTGGCCTCACTAACACTACTTCCAACAGCAAACAAATTTTCCCATGTGGTCTCTCATGTAGGTACTGACTGGGCGCATCCCTACTTAGCTTTAGTGGGCGACCATGTGAGAGTTGCAGAGAGCTAGCTCTCTGAAAAAAGGCTCTGCTCTCTTTTTAAGAGAAAAATACACCATGCTAGCTTACAAGTGACTTGTCCAATGATCTCGAACCGGGTCCTTTATTTCATTACATTTTTTGTGTAATGGCCTATTTAAAATGAGCATATCAGGGTTCAACGCTAAGGATTAACATTTTTAAAGGTTTACATTCTTAATCACCTGTTTCTAAATGTCTCTAAAAGTGAAGGGGACTTATCCCCCCTGTCCCCCCCCCCCCCCCCCCCAGTTAATACGCCCCTGCCTATATTGACTGACTGTGTGAACTTATGAACTATACACTATATCGTCAAATTTAAACTTATTAAGTTTTAATATGCAATTGTGAATAACAAGCTAATCAAATGTGGTATGATTGTTTTTTTTTTAATAATACATGAATAATTGCATGATTATAACTGGTTACAAAACCAGAAATAATTACAGCTAAAAATCATCTTTAGTGTTCTGACTCGAAGCATAAAAGCCATCTGCATCCCGGAGCGAGTAAATTCTTAAGTTCTTAGAAGAAGTTCTTAGAGAAGTTCTTAATTTTGGGTGAATTGTACCTTTAATACAGAGATTTGGACTTTATTTATTTAAACACTAACCTTCTAACACTGAACTGCCCCATCCAGTGATGTAACATAACCCAAAGTTGAGTTGTTTCTCATGCATTTGATTTTCCAGTATGCACACCGGCTGCACGTAATTTGTGAAATAGAAAGGGTGGTGCAGATACAACAGTGCCACATCGTTGTCATATTCGGATTGGTTGTACTTCTCATGCAGGATGACTTTCTGGACAGTGCGATACTGCACTTCTTTTCCTGGCTTGAATCGTGAATTCACTCCAGCCACTACTAGAAGTTTATTGTTGTTTCTATTAAAAATGAAAAATAATCAAAATGAAACATTAAAATACACCAGTAATTAAATATTATTTTGGCGAGCACAGAGTTGCTATTATTGTTTGGCCATTATGTTCCTACAGATATTTATGTAGTAAGCATCCAATACTATTGAACTAACTGAACCTCTACTGCAATTACATTAGTTTAGTTTATATTTATATATTAGTTTATTAGGTTTTTTTAGGTTATATATTAGTTTATTGGGTCTATACCGGCCACTTTATTAGGGACACCTTACTAGTACCAGGTTGGACCCCCTTTTGCCTTCAGAACTGCCCTAATACTTTGTGGCATATATTAAACAACAAGGCACTTTTTTTCTGTCTTCAATTGTCCAATTTTGGTGAGCCTGTGCCAATTGTAGCCTCAGTTTTCTGTTCTTAGTTGACAGGAGTAGCACCCGGTTTGGTCTTCTGCTATTCAGAGATGCTCTTCTGCATACCTTTATTGTAACGAGTGGTTGTTTGAGTTACTATTGCCGTTATATCAGCTTGAAACAGTCTGGCCATTCTCCTCCGACCTCAGACATCAACAAGGCATTTGCGCCCATAGAACTGCCGCTCACTGGATATTTACTTTTTCTCAGACCATTCTCTGTAAACCCTAAATATGGTTGTGCGTGAAAATCCCAGTAGACCAGCAGTTTCTGAAATACTCAGACCAGCCCATCTGGCATTAACCACCAATGTTATGTTCAAAGTCACTTAAAACACTTTTCTTCTGCAGCAGGTCGTTTTGACAATGTCTACATGCCTACATGCATTGAGTTGCTGCCCTGTGATTGGCTGATTAGAAATGTGCAGTAAAGAGCAGTTGGACAGGTGTATCTAATAAAGTGGCCGGTGAACCTAAGTTTAGCAGCTAAAATAGCCAGATGTGATAGCTGCTTACATACTGTATGCTCCATGTTATAAAGGAAGAGAAACACAAAGTTCTCACCTTTTTTTCTTGAAGCAGTGAGATGCGGTGATTACCCATCGGTGGCTGATGATGGACCCACCACAAATATGCCAGAACATCTGCTGAATGCTCACCTGCCAAGGCCAAGCACCCTCTAATGCAGAGTGGCCCCCTGAAATTCGGGACTGTTTTGGCGGGCTCACCAAAGTTCGCTGTCCACAACCTTAACAAACAAGAACATGAATCAATTGCTTTATAATATTTTTTGTTACATAGCCATTAATAATAGTTATCTGTAAATAATATCAAGCCATTAATGCAGCAGTAATATGTTGTTGGAAAATGTTTGGCTCTAAGTTTCTCAAATAAAAAACAAATCAAAATGGAGTTCGTTTAACAATTGGACCCTCTGTGAATAAAATCCATGTTCCCAGGTGGGGAAATTCTTGATAATTTTAAAATACCTGCAATCCCAAAGGGTAACAGACAAATTATAATTAAGACGAATGTTAGGCTCATTTTAAACGAGAAAGCAACAAAAAACAGCGAGATAGAAGCAGGCAGAAACGAATCATTTGATTCAACGGACATTTATTAGCTATTCGAGTGACGTAACAGTTCAAACTGTAATGCTTTGAAATAACCGGACAACAGAGAACATGCAATTCAACACAGTTTAGGTAGTGCAAATTACACAATGCTTTTTTAAAATGTACGTAATGAACTTTTAGGCTAATGTAAACGACATTAATAATAATAATAATAATAATAATAATAGTAAAAATAAAAACAAACAATTATTACATTTATTATTTTTATCCACAGAGGTGTTTATTACACATTTATTAAATCAGGTTATAAATATAACGTTTATTTATATATTCAATCATGGTCTGTGTTTTTGCCCCTTTAGACAGGATTTGCATATGATCAAATCCGTCATTCCTCAGTTTCCCAACACCTCATTCTCGCACAGCGATCTAACCGTGATCCCAACACGACAACTAAAATTAACGCCTTTTATTGTGGAACCGGTGCTACCTATTGGCCGACACTCCCTTACATTTTGCTGGGAGTCATCAATTATGCAGGGTAACGGTGCACACTGAAGGAAGGTAGCAGCAACAATATGGCGACATCCGCAATTTCTTCCGAATTTATTCGACATCTGCAGTCCAGCGAGGATTTTTTGGATACCCGCTAACGCAATCATAGTAAGTATTATGTTTAAATAACGCACTGGCGATGCGTTTAGAGGTGCGATTGAAGTCATTGCACTGTCAATGAATGTCGCAGGGATGCTGCACGCTGAGGGGGGTTTACTGCTACACGATCATATCCATATGCACTGTGGTTTTTATCCCATTAAAACTAATGACGCTTTATCAGTGCTCGGTAGTTACTATAAGCCCAATTGTTATTGGGTCTATTTATACCCCCTTTCAAATAACATGTCATGATACGATATAAACATGTTCTTGCAGGGCAATATGTGCTGTTATTTCTATTTTGCATGATATGACGTGATCCGTATAGCCTGTAGCTTTGCACCCTGAATAAAGGTCTTCATGTCATTGTTTATCAAATGTCAAGCCGAGCAAATGAGCAAAAATGCACATGTGCACGGGTTTTAACTGATCCATTGTAATTAAGACGTTCAAATGGCAATACACGCTCGGCTGCTTATTGATTGTAGGGTGGACGCAGGTTGCACGGGTGTGGTGTGCTACATTTTCTTGTTTATGTTCCTCGCGAGCAGAAACCTTGCACAACGTCGTCGAGATATCTAGCTGTTGTCGAAGAGACGATAGACATTTTCTGTCAAATGAGGCTGTGTGACTGGTAAGATGTTCGCGGTGAGCATGTAAAAGGGTAAATACGACGGGAGAGAGCGAAAAAAAGCACTGCAGTATTTTCCGTTTTTCCTCCGTGGCTTCGGCCCGCATCTCCGAAGTCGTCTGGCTGTTTAGAAACGTACGTTTTCAGCCAAATTCGCTTTCTGAACCCGAGGAAAATGTGACAAACGTTTTGGAAAACGCTAATAGCCTATGTTGTTCTGGAAATCGTTGTACTGCTAAGCTATGGATTTCGTGACAGAACATTGATGAAATCAAGGTAGGAGCACTGCGCATTCAGTCACACAAACGATGAAATTTGATGTTCCTGTTACGAGATGTTTGATTGAAGGGATGGATGTTATGCATTGATGTCCAGCTGTACATAATTTATTGACAGGAATTGTGTATGTCGATTTAATGTAGACGCATTTAAAAGCTTTAAAGACATGAATGAAAACGAACATATAATTGTATTCACAATGCTTTCTGAACAAACCCTTGTCCTGTCTGCTGTTAATGAGCTTTACTATAACCCATCTGACATTTTATACGGCTGTCGTGTGTTTCTGTGCAGCTCAGCTCCATATAGTTTCCCTCAGTTATTTCGAGCTTGATGTTTCGGCCCACCTCATACATTTGATACGGATTCCCTCACACCCTTTTATAACCCCCTCAGATACAACATTAATCCTTATGCTTTTTGCTTATGGAAGATTGCACTGGAATATATATTTATTCACCACATTTATTGCAGTGCATAATGCTTAGATATATGTTAGGTTTCCTATAAAGAGCTGTTTAGTATCATTACGGTTTCAATTTGAATGTAATGTAAAATGTCAAAGATAATACAGGCTTGGTTATGATTAAACATGACCTGGTATGAAACACAAATGTCTTCTATTCAAACAAGGAAGATATGTTTTTATCAAATAACACACTTTTCTGATGATGTTGCACAGCATATTTACATAATATACAAACTAAAATGTTATCGCCGTAATTGAATTTGTTTGTGATGCTATAGATGGTGGCTATAGAACTAGCAAAACATTTGCCAGTTAGCATTGAACGTATGTAAATGTGTGGACAGGCAACTCAAAATTTGCAGTTCAAATGTGCAGAAATGTATATAAAGTAATGTTCAAACATAATCATTCAGGTCATGTCTGTCATTACAAAAGCCACTGTAATGTTCTTTTTGCACTGTGGTGCTGATTGGACAGCTCCTGTTAGTAAAATTAGCCTTTGCTCATGCACCATGAAGACACTGAAAATGACCAATTGGAAAGGTGTTTGATTTTACACTGTAAAAAAAATCCTGGCTGCCTGAAATTTTTAGGCTGAATCAAATTAACCTTATGAGTCCATTGAACTTAAACCATTAAGTTAAACTGACTTAGAACAGCTTGCGTAACTTATAAAATTAAGTTAGAAAATGATTAATTTAGTTTACTAAGTTACTATGAAGTAGTAGTCATAAATTTCAGTTTCATTGCTGATAAATGATGGTAATCCAGTCTCAGATGCTTTGCCTGTTTGTTTTAAAGACAAAGACTGCTTTAAAGGTTGCTCTCACTACACTTTTATTCCATTGACATTCGTTTATATGAATGTGAAAGTAGGATATCAGAAATAAATTAAACTCATAAACCTCATCGAAAGTATGAAATAATCTTATCAAGATGTTTCTGCTTGTTTTTAAAGTTAAAATGTAGTTAAATGTAGTTCATTCTCAAATTCATATCAAGTGATGGCATGTGACTGAGCGATAAATGGATTATATCACATGCTTGTATACATTTTGAAGGTATTATATGTTGAATTATCTTTCTCAGTGAAATGTCATGTTAAGTCAATTGCAGCATCCATAGATTTTTTTTTGTGAACCTAAAAGTCTGACATGTGAAGTCCCAGCCCAGTGCCCAAAACCCTTTTAAAACACACTGACAAACCAGCTTAGGCAGGTTTACGCTTCTTTCATCCAATTGATATCCGTTTCACACCCATGGGACTTCTTCCACTAATGGTTTCTGTTATGGGCCAGTGTTTGTCACATTTCTTGATATTTTGTTCGCACGTTTTCTTTGCTTGAAGGTAAATGTTATATATACTTCAAAGGCAAGCTGAAAATGCAAATACCATTTTGAAAGCAAACTAAAAGTGCATGGAGAGAAAAGCTAAAAGTGAGCTAAGTAGCGCTGTATTATCAGGATATGGCTTGGTTAAGTGTCTGGCCCATAAGTGCACACAAGCTTTTAGACAGTGTGGTTTACCAGGCCTCCCTTCACTCACCCCATTTCCCATTCCACTGCCTTAGGGACATAACGCATGTCCCAAATCAGCATCTCAGTGGAGATTTATTTAGTTTCACAGGGAAGACAGGTTCAACTAAAATCTGCTTGTGCTATTGTTGGGGTATCTTCTAATCCACAGAATGCAGTCTACATCCTTTCAGCTCGCAGCACCCTTTCATCTAAAATAGAAACATCCATCATAATGACCCAAAAGAAACATAACACAGGAAGTTATGCAAGCACAAATCAGGGGGGAGAAAAAAAATGTCCAATGAATCACTTAACACAAAGTCGATTAATATTATTGCAAATGTAATCCAAAGGCAAACATCACCTTCATCTGCTCATAATGGAGGGTGCATTTCATTTTTTATGAAGTGGATGAGTCATCCAGGATCCACTGCCAGTCCCTCTTTAACATGCTCTCGATTTAGCAACAGATTGTTTTGATGTGTAAGGTAATATTTTTAGATGCAGGTCTTTGCATTTTTACCTTCCTGTACAGAGCTGAACATATCAGTTTGTGTGAGAGGATGATGTAACAAGCTAGTATTGTTCAGTAAGATTTGATCATGACACTAGTTAAATCAAATCTAAATGGAAATGTTGGATTTGTTGGACAAGCTTATGTGGGCACTCATTGCTTTGATTTTAGAGATTGATTACGGTTTAGATAGTAAACTAAGTTACCTTGGTTTAAATATTAAACTTAGTTCTGAATTATGTTTGATGAATGAAAACTGAATGAGTTTTTTTTTTTTTTGTAGATTGAAGTATTCAGAACTGAGTCATTTCTAAATGTATAAACATTTTACTATATAGAGTCGTAATAGTTTTCAGTGTATGTATAGCTTTGTGATTCTTGTGCCATTGGTATAAAATGTGTGTATAAATATTATTGCTATTATATAAATACATTTTTTTAATCACCAGACAGAAGTCAATTTATTTAATAAAAAAAGATAAAACCAGTAAAAATATACAGTTGAAGTCAGAATTAATAGCCCCCCTTGAATTATTAGACCCACTGTTTTATTTTTTTCCTAATTTTTGTTTAACGGAGAGATTTTTTTTTATACATTTCTAAACATAGTTTTAATAACTCATTTCTAATAACCGATTTATTTTATCTTTGCCATGATGACAGTAAATAAATAATATTTGACTAGATATTTTTCAAGACACTTCTATACAGTTTAAAGTGACATTTAAAGGCTTGACCAGGTTATTGAGGTTAACTAGGCAGGCTAGGTTAGTTTGGCAATTTATTGTATAACGATGGTTTGTTCTGTAGACTGTCGAAAAAAATAGAGCTTAAAAGGGCTAATAGTTTTTACCTTAAAATGGTTCTTAAAAATTTAAATCTGCTTTTATTCTAGCCAAAATAAAACAAATAAGAATTTCCACAAAAGAAATAAAAATTATCAGACATACTGTGAAAATTTCCTTTCTCTGTTAAACATCATTTAAGAAATATTTAAAAAAGAAAAGAAAATCAAAAGGGGAGCTAATAATTCTGACTTTAACTGTATACTCGGTGTTATGTTACAAAAAAGAAAAATCTTAACCAAAATGTCAGTTGGCCAGACAGTGATTAATCTTTTATGAATCATTCAAATATTGGTGTCTGGGACACTGTGATCTCTGAGACTGTGAGTTTTTAAAAGCATAGCTTAAAGGTGTGAAATAAATGAATAATGCTTATTAACAGCTGGTGAGATATAATCATTTAAAACTGAGGAGAGGCTTGGACCCTAACAGTATTTATTACATCTTGACTTAAAGGTATAGTTTACCCAAAATGTGAATTGTCATCATGTACCCATAATATCCCGAATCCATATATTCGAAACACAACATTTTTATGGAACCTGAGAGGTTCCCATACTTTATTCACAAAGGTCATAAGGTTTATTTAAAAAGGTCATAAAGTCAGTGGTTTATCCTAAGAAGAATACACTATACATGACAAAAGTCTTGTCATCGATCCCAGTTTTGAGAGCAACAAATAATAACAAATAACAACAAATAACTTGACTTCTAGATTTTTCCAGTGAATCATCTGTTGAACTGCATCTCAATCATCACAAATGCTGCAGAAGACCTATTGGAACATGCATGGACCCAAGATTCTAACTGAAATCAAGTCAAGTTTGGCGAAGGAAAAATCATGGTTAGGGGTTACATTGAGTATAAGGGGGTGCAAGAGATCTGCAGAGTGAATGACAACATCAACAGCCTGAGGTATCAAGACCTTTGTGCCGCTCATTACATTACATCAACAGGAGAGGGCAAATTCTTCTGGCTGGATAGCGCTCCTTCACATACTTCAGCCTTCACATCAAAATTTCTAAAAGAAAGGAAGGTCAAGGTGCTCCAGGATTGGCCAGCCCAGTTACCAGATATGAACATTATTGAGCATGTCTGGGGTAAAATGGAGGAGGCATTGAAGATGAATCCAAAGAATCTTGATGAACTCTTGTGAGTGATGCAAGAACACTTTCAAAATGACTTTATTAATAAGTTATTTGAGTCATAGCAGAGATATATGGATGCAATCCTCCAAGCTCATGCATGGGAGTCTTTCACAATTTTAATTCTTTTCCACTGCACCATGACTTTATATTCTATACTGTACATTATTTCTGTTAAGTGACAAAACTTTGGTCTACGCAAAGTCAGACCTTACTGTCCTAACTAAATAATTAAAAATCAAGGCATCATCAAATTTTATAATGATAAAATGAGCACAATCTAGAGGCCTTTGCCTTTCATATAAGCCATATCTGATACCAAATGATCAACGAGAAGTCAAGTTATTATTTGTTATTCCTAAAACTCGGATAGGCCACAAGACTTTTGTCAGGTAGTGTATAGTCGACTCACTGGTCAATTACTTATTGCTTGTACTGACTTGGACCCCCAGTCACCCATTTGGCTTAAGAACTGCTTTAAATTCTTAGGACACAGATTGAACAAGTTCTATGATCCTAGTCCACCATTACATTCAAGAGATGTTGGATTGAGATCTGCTTGTATTGTAGTGGTATTATTATGGTAGTGTAGTAAACTCTTAATCATTTTCAAGAAACCAGTTTGAGATTATTTGAACTTGGTGGCATGCTATATTACACTGCTGAAAGTAGCTGTGGCATTTAAACACTGTTTAATTAATATTAATGGGACCAAAGAAAATTACTCAAACCATTACACCATCAGCATCGTAAACCATTGATACAAGCCAGAATGGATTCATCCAAATGTCTCTATAGAAATAAACTAATCAGGCCAAGGAACATTTTACATTCTTTTGGCTGTTTGAGTTGTAGCTTGTTTGCTCTTCTCGGCTGACAGCAATGGTCTTTTGTTGCTGTTGCTCATCTGCTTGATGGTTGGATGTGTGGTGTGTTCAGAGAATCCTGTTCTGTAGACCTCAGTTGTGATGAATTGTTATTTGAGAAAATATTGCCTATCTGCCAACTTGAACCAGTCTGGTCATTCCACTCTGACTTATGAAATCATGAAGGCAATTTCACACACAAAATTACTAATCACTGGATCTTTTTCAAACCAACTTATGAAAACTTTAGAGATGGTTTTAAGTGAAAATCCTTGTAAATCAGTAGTCTCTGAAACACTCAGACCAGCCTTTCTGGGACTACCAATCATATAATGTTTAAGTTAAATCACTATTCTTATGCTCTGTTTATACTTCAGCAGATGGTCTTCACTATGTCTGTGCTAAAATGCATTGAGTTGCAGTCATGTCATTGACTGTTTGTATAAATGAGCAGTTGAACAGGTGTACCTAATCAAGGGTATATTATGAATCATTTTCTAGTAAAGCTCATGTATGCTACATCCAAATACAGTACATCTATAGTAAAGGAATGTATTATAACATTGATATTAGCCCAAACAGCTGTTTATTTACAGTGTCAAGGTCATTTTATGAACTCCCTATATAGCAACATGCTTAAAGGTGCAGTCTGTAGAGTAGTAGTTGAACTAGGCATTTTTTTCTAGAGTTTTTTTTCTCCACCCCTTCCAGATGACTTGAAGCACACTCAGGTTGCCAGATTGATGACACAAACAGGAGCAAGCATGCCTGATGATTGAGCCTTACACTGTAAACCTAATGTTTAAGTTTGTAACATTTTTATTATTTCCTAATTAGAAAATACTGAACCTCTACATCTTCATCTCATTTCAGAGACTGCAACTGTCATCTGGGGGTCGCATTATCTTTCATGTCTACATACGTTGAGGCAGCCTTCATAAATGAAATGAAATACGCTGTGTTTTCCACCAAGGCATCCCGGGGTGCTGAATTAAAAAAAATGAGTAAACTGGCAGTTTTCTGGTGGAGACATTCTGACAAGAAACTATTTTTTTCAAGGGACAAACTGTAGCATTGTGATCAGATAAATAAGTGTGTTCACTTAGCGCTTTTCTGAAATGTCTACAAACATTGTGGTATTTTGATGCTTTTTTAAAAAAGATAATTCAAGAACTTGCATACAGCACCTTTAAATAAAAATCTAAATTCCAGCCTCTAATGGCAAATAGGGTTGGATATCCAAGAAATTTCTGTGTATATTAGAAGACTTTGGGCCCTAACATGCACCGGGTGCAAGAAGTGTTTGGGGCGATTTTTTGATAATTTCAGACGTGCAAAACAGTAATTTTCAGGTTTTGTGCCATGTTGATTAAATAGCAAATCTATTTGAGCCACTTTGTGGACTCATGTGCGTGCTGGTCTAAAATAGAGGTGTGATAAGGCACGTTGTTGGCGCATTGCTATTTTGAAAATAATAATACACCGCGCTTATTGACCAACTGATAGCTGGTCTAAAGTCCAGTGCAGGGCACGTTAGTTATAGCATCTGTGCAGGCTTTTTCAGTTTATTCATGATAATTTGCTTTTGTATAATGTTATTATTATTATCGGGATTTGTAATGAAGTTTATGGCCCTCTGGCTGCCGGGAAGGAGGCGGAGAACCGACAAAGTTTTAAGATATTTAATAATAAAAGGGAGGCCAGCTCCTCACGGAGAGTGCCGTCTAAACCAAAACAAATGGACGCCAGCTCCTTAAGGCCCGGTCCTCTCTTGGTTTCCTATGTTATCGTTCCTCCTCTCATAGTCCAGTGCTTCTTCTGTGGGATTCGAGGCCGGTGCGTGCCACAGGTGAATCCAATTACACGGCAGCCGCATTCCCATGGCTCTCGGCCCCGCCCCCTCGCCACAGTATTATTTATTATATACATGTTTATCTTTGTTTTAATAAAAACAAATTTAGATTTGTCCACCTGTCAGGTTTTGGAGACATTTGCATTACTATATGGGGCATAAGGATAGGACATGTGTTTGGATATAACTCAGTTTTTTGACCACACTTCGTTAATATTGTTCATTTATTCGTTTGCTGGAAATTTGAACTAAATTTAGAAATAGTTTTGAAACAAATCCTTGTGCATAACAAACAAAATTAAATATGTAGGCTAATGGATGTTTTCAGTAGAGTACGTACAAGTAAAGGAGTAAAGTAATATAAAAAAGTAAAGTAAAGAGGTTGAATGGCCGATTTCTCACTTGTGATATGTTTAGTTTTTTGACTCTTTTCTGACTCTTAAAGGGAATGTGAGATGAGACTCTGATTGGTTTAATGCAGGTTATGCTCAAAACACACCCATAACTTATTAAGAAAATAACCACAACCATGCTAAACCATGCGCCGGAGCGCAGAGAGTATTTTTCCATCCTTAAAATAGTGAAAGTGGATTCAGACATGGCCTTAAAGCTTTTGCGTCATGCGCTTTAGACTTTGCGCTTAGATCGTTAATATATAGCCCTAAAATGCCTAATCTCCTTTTTTTTCTATCCATCATAGAACTGGCTGCCGTGGAGGGTACATAACAGGAGAAGAAGTTGCTGCAGGATGAAAACATGGCTGCACCCCTTCTTGCACCGCCAGGACCTAACAGCTACAAATACTTTACCAGGGAATCACTCCGTGAAATCGAGAAGCGTATCGAGGAGGAGAAAGCCAAGCCGCCACCTAAGCCAGACAACAGCTATCGCGATGATGACGACGAGAACAAGCCCAAACCTAACGGTGACCTGGAGGCGGGCAAGAGTCTGCCCTTCATCTACGGGGACATCCCTCCTGGCATGGTGGCAACACCACTGGAGGATTTCGATCCCTTCTACATAAATCAGAAAGTGAGTGCAGTATCACCACGTCTCTTTAATATGGCCTGCATTGCTGGGCTTCTAAGCAGCTCACTATTGAGCATTCCAGAGTTTTTCCCAACATTCCTCAAGCCATGCATTTTTGTTTTTGATGGTAACTCTTAACTTTCTTTTATAATCCACTACAGTGCAGAAGGGTTTGTACAGTATGTTGTAGATCGCGGATGAGATGATGCTTTAAAGTCATTAAGGGAGGAGGTCAGCAGTGGTTTGCTCAAGCTTTACAGTTCCAGCTGACAGACTTGTTTTAATTGTTCCAGCAGTAATCCTTTAGAAAAGATAAGCTGAAAGAAACGCTCCAGTGTGTTTAAAGGAGCCATGCACTATTTCAGACCAGCTGTCAGAGTAGGGGTTCACCAGTAAAAGATTTTAACTAATGGACCCTTTTCACAAGCCTGTTATGACATGATTAACGATCATCATAATCTTAAATCCTTGAAAGTTTTTGATATTTAGATAAAAAAGAACATATGTACTTTTATACTCATTTACGTTTGTATTATGTCATCTTTTGGATCAAATTACAAAAATGAATGACCGCTTATGCGAGGTGTTTCTAATGCAATGTCTATTGGGCAGGACAGTAATTTTGATGTTGTTCTCTCTTCTGGCTGCCCTTATCAGCCTCACACCATTTTTTTCCTTTTTCTAAAAGTCTTGATAACACTATTGTGGAGTTTTTCTCTTATTATTTCAGCAAATTGGATTGTAAAAATTATTATTTGTTGTACTCTCTAACATGGACATGTGAAAAGGGTCCATATAGGTAATCTTAATGTTGTTGTTTTTGATGAAATTTGGGTTTGGTGGTCTTTAGTATTGTTATTTAAGGGCAAAAAAGAGAACATTTTGAAATATGCCATGTTTAACCAAAATTATATAGTAAAATAATTGTGGATTATAAGATAAAAAAAATATTATAAGTAAAATAAAATAAAATATTACAAGTATAAATAATACACTTCTCAAAAAGGCTAAAATATTCATACAATTTGAAATGAAAAAATCTAATTTATAGTTTAATCTATAATTTATAGTCTTCAATGTCACATGATTTTTCATATATGCCAATTTAGTGCTAAAGAAGCATTTGTAATCAAAGTTGATAATTATTATTCTTTAATTCTTGATTATTTGGTAAAAAGTTCAAATAAACAATTGCTTATTTGAAACGTAGCCTTTTGTTATAGGTGTGTTTGCTATTACTTTTGATCTATTTATAAATTTATTGAGTATGTGCTGAATAATTAATTTCTTGTGCTGTGTGCTTGCTTATTTTGTCTGTATTGTATGCCAACCTTTGACCATTTTAAGTTTTATTTCAGGTTTTATATACCTGTCTCTTATCTTTTTTGAGTAAAGCCTCATTACAGTGGACTCAAAGTCTGAGGCCAAGTTTAAAATCTAATTTAAACATCTTAAGGCTGTTGTATTTTAAAAGTTAATGTTATGTTGTAATGTAGACAGTGGCGCCCCCTAGAAATTTTCTTATGGGTGGCCAGAAGCAGCCGCATCAAATCTTGCTGTGGCAAAAATGGGTGGCACATGCAAAAAAATGTATGATTTCAGTGTAATCTTATATTTTTGGTTCTGGTTAATGAACTTATGTGGTTTCATTTCATTTAATTAATTACTCTTGCAATATCGCAATTTATTCCTTAAAATAAATTAATTTAAAAAAAAAATCTGTATTTATTTTGAAGGCATTTTTTATATATAGAAATAACTTTTAAGTTATTTTCCACATACTTTTATTGTACAGCATACATCCATGTCTAAAATTAATGAAGAATAATGAGTTAATTAATAAAACAAACAAATGAACAAAATACATTACAATATACACACACAATTACTATACAGATACTAACAATGTCATTTATCCATATTCCTTTTTGAGCCACAATATTATTAATACAGCCTTTTTAATTAATGTAGCTTAAGGTAAATATTAAATTGCCATTGCTGTGTATTTAAGGTGTGTGTGTGCTGTCAAGATGATCAGGAAGAGGGAGGGGCAGTGAATCAGCTACATCAGTGGCACCGGTCAATTAACAAAAATGTAGTGGCTGCTATTTATTTATTTATTGAAATATTGTGAATTTACGCAAGTACATTTAAATTAATAAACATCAACAGCAAAATCATATTGGGGTGGCCACAGGGGTGACCAGAGTTTACACAGGGGTGGCTGTGGCCTTCAGGAAAAAACCTGTTGTTGGAAATATATAGAGAATGTACAATGCTACTGTATGTCCTATACTGTTTTTATACAATTAATAACACTGCATGCCACAAATAAGCTTGCTACCCAGGGTTTAAAGTTCCCGTGAAGTGCTTTGAAATGTGCATTTTGTATTTGATGTTTGACGTAACCTCGACTGAAAAATGAAGAGAGGGTGGGACGTATAGCAGCACCTCCCTTTTTAAAAAACAGCCAATAGCATTTAGATTTTATTACAGATCTATCAATGAGCCAATAGATATCCTTAAAGGGACCTTTAAGAATGTACAGTGTAACAAATCAGTTTTTTAATACCCAGCAGTGTCAAACATGGCACAAGATAACACAGTATTGCTTTTAGAATGACCAAATAGTAGACCCAAATAGTATTATTATTTGATTTGTTTCCAACTCAGATACTCTTTACTTACATTTTTCAAGATTAAGCATCAACTGCCTGTCTTTAGACCAACTCATCTCTTTATATCTCTGTGGTGTTGACAGACGAAATCCCACAACATTGTCAAATTCATACATTTTCTGTTGCACTTTTGGCTCAGAGAATGTTATTGCAATAACAATTTATGATTAAAGACATCTTGTTTGTGCTATAAATATAATATTGATAATAAATATAAGGGCATCACAGTGGCGCAGTGGGTAGCATGATCGCTTCACAGCAAGAAAGTCGCTGGTTCGAGCCCCGGCTGGGTCAGTTGGCATTTCTGTGTTGAGTTTGCATGTACTCCCTGTGTTGGTGTGGGTTTCTGCTGGGTGCTCTGGTTTCCCCCACTGTCCAAAGACGTGCGTTATAGGTGGATTAAATAAGCCAAATTGGCTGTAGTGTATTTGTGTGAATGTAAGAGTGTATAGGTGTTTCCCAGTGTTGGGTTGTGGCTAGAACAGCATCCGCTATGTAAAACATATGCTGGGTAAGTTGGCGATTTATTCCGCTGCGACAACCCCTGATTAATAAAGGGACTAAGCCGAAAAGAAAATGAATGAATGAATGAATGAATGAATGATAATATATAGTGAATAAATGGTATGTACATATGTATGTGAATGTATGTTTGTATTTAAAAATTATTTTAATTGTACGCGTAGTTGCTAGATATGTTACCAGTCATAAATCAGTGCAATAGCAGATGCCAGCAAGTCCTCAAACAGATTTTTAGCAGCGAGTTGTTGTTATGAAATGTAGCCTAAGGGTGGAAGATGAAGTCATCGCTTCTGTCTGAGTCGTACTGGAGTCCAACAGGCTCAGCCCTGCGTTCTCTCATTTGGCCTGGTGTTAAGTGCAGTGTTGAGACTTCAGCCACACCGGACTTTACTAAATAATGCACAGACTCATTTGTGTGTTAATGCTTGTTAATGTGTGCATGTGCTAAAGCATTTTCCTGCCTCCTCTCTTGCTTTCTCCCTCCGCCTTGTTCCTCTGCCTCCCTCTCATGCAGCACACACTGACTGTTATGTAAGCACCCGCTCCGTGCACAGGAAGGTGGTTTCAGTCTCTTGATGAAAACCTCATGGAGGAGCGTATGTGAAGTCTGAAGAAACCATATCATGACTCAAATAAGAACATTTTTTAAATAATAAGATGCATCTCTACAATATAATGCACATGCTAAAGCTGCATGATTAATTGATGCAAAAAAATTCAATCTTGATTCATGTATCAAAGCGTTCGTACAGTTTTGTTTATTTAACCTTACACAAGTATGATCAGAATGAACATTCAGATCTGAATTTATGATTACAATTATGAAACCACTTCAGACTATATGGAGTGTTAACTAGAGACAGTTTTCTGGTAAAAAATAGGAAACTATGTGATTGATCATTTACATAACAAGTGTTTTGGGGGCCTGAAAGCACACATTTTTTAAAACTATGAATATTTTTTCATTGGTAACTAAAAAACATGATTTCCTAGAAATTGTTACTTTATGCACAAACATATTACTTGTTCTATCTATAGGCATTTGTAAAGCATGAAACCCAAAACAACACTGATGGACTACAGGATCGTATGTGTGGAAGCGTTTAGTGTTATTTTTCTAATTAACATCGCCACCTACTGGCCTGGCATGTATAATACAGTGGTTTCACAGATCTGTGTGGACAGGGATTGTATGTTTACAAAAACATTGAAGGGATAATTCACCCAAAAATAAAAGTTTTAAAGTCAAATGTGAGTGATTTACATGTTAAGTCAATAGCCCCTTTCACACAGTGATAGCGATAAATATCCGGAAAATTTACAGAACGACTTTACCAGTAAATTCAAAAAAGAGCTGTTCACACAGGCGAGGACGTTACGGAAGTTTTCCAAAAAAGACCACTAACACATCCATTCCAAAATACCGGTAAATTCTGACATTATTAACCAGAAATGACCTCTAAACGCCTGCGCTTGTATTTGTAAACATTTAACTACATTACAAACTCTGTGGATGGATAAGTAACAACTTCGATGAACACGTATAGAGAAACAATTTTGCATGTCGAGATGTACAGTACATGATATTTGTGTGTGCTGGTGCTTACCAGCTGCCTTTACGGGAAGCAGAGCTTGAAGGTAAACAAACAACGGCTTATCATAAGCATCTTATCGATAAATATTTACACAGTTTGCATTAAGAAGGAGCATAGAAACGTTGTCTGACTTACATCTAGCAGTTAAATGTGTCTGAAAAAATATTTTCATATACCGCGCGGACGTGAATGTGTCTGACTGTTCTGA